TCCCTTCAGTCTGCATCTTTCCGCGCGACGCTGCGCTGACCAGCCTCGACTTCGTTTGCCATTTTGGCGTGTGTTGAGAGCTTGGCCCAATCGACGAGCCCTTGTCTCGCTGCAACAGCCAAAACTCGACTGGAACCGACTGAGGCTTTCAGCCGTGTTTTGATCGCCCGCTAGTCCCAGCAGCCTCGATCATCCTTTTGCTCTCCCATCCTTCTCACAACCCGTCCCGCATTCCACCTTTTCTCTCTAGTCTTCCCCATTCTCACCGTTTCTCCATTTCAATCCTTCCCCTCCACCTTGCCCCCCTTGCATTCCTCTCCTCCGTTCCCACCACACCACTTCTTCTCTTAGCTTGCCTCTAATGCAACATGCAACGGCCCTTGACCCATGCTGGCCATGACCTGCATCGCCGACCGCCGAGCCCGACGTTTATGCGATCATCGTTATCAACAGCCGGAGCTGCTGGCCCCGTAGCCACGATGGATGCATCTGGTCGGCAACCGTTTCCTGCATGGCCGCACTCTGTCTTTGCCAACGACGACCGATCGGCCGACCGAGACCAGATGGACATCATGCCCGCCCGGCCGGCATACTACAGCACCACACCGTCGTGGACCTCGAACGGCAGTGAGGCCGACGATCCGTTCACGAGCAACAGAGGAGATAGTTCTTCAACGCTACCGCGACAGAATCTGCTCCTCCACGAGTACAACCGGCTTGCGGAAAAGGTTCGCTTTGATTCCACAGTACAGACAGGGTGCCGTGACTGTCACGAGGATCCGCTAACGATTTCTTGCAGCGTGGTCTTCGACCGCTATCCCATGCCGGAGACGAAGATGAGCAAGACGGTTCAGTATGTTTTCTCTTTTATTTTCTGTGCTGTTAGGGCAGGACTAACAACGCAGATTGAACATGACAGCCAGATAGGCGACAGGCGCAACTGGTTTGCGCGAACGTTTGGAAAGCCTTCTGCACCGACATCAAGGCGGTCCAGCAGACACTCCATTGGTGGTGGAAAGCACAAGCGAAGCGACAGTGACCCGTCAAACCAGCTTCAGCCGGGATCTGGAAGCGGCTCCAAGTCTGACGTGCTGGACACGTTGAAGAACCAGTCACTCCAAACACTTGTCCGCACCTGTGGCAAAAGCTTCCTCTACCTCCCAACAGACTACGGCACTCGCTCCCTGATGCTGCCAACGTGCTTTCGCGCAGCTGCCCAGTACCTTGTCCAAAATGGTCGGTTGTACCTCTGACTTTCGTGTCTCCTTTTTGGATCCAACCTAACTCGTCTGCAGGCCCAGAGACTCGCGGCATCTTCCGGATCTCTGGCTCTATGAGAGTCGTCAATGAGCTTTACGATTACTATTGTGTCAACCTCGACAATGACGACGACATTGCCGCGACCGTCCGCTCGCCGAATCTGCCTTTCCACATCAAAGCCGGCGTGCACGACGTCGCCTCCATGTTCAAGCGCCTCCTTGCAGGCCTTCCCGGTGGAATCCTCGGCGACCTCCGACTCTTCGAAGCATTTGTTGAGATTATGAAATCGGATGGGCATGCCAGCAACGAGGTCTTGGAGTCTGGGAGGGCAGACCCGGGACAAATGAAGGCCCGTCTCATGGCTCTTGCCATTGGATCTGTCCCTGGACCGCTCCAGCGCGAGCTGATGTGCGCCGTATTCGGCCTGCTTTCTCTCATTGGACACTCTGCCGAGACGACAGAGCCTGCCCAAGCTGTTCAGGGGAGCGCCTTGCCTCACTCCGAGTTGATGGGCTACGCAGCGCTGGGAATCATTTTCGGCCCACTGTTGATGGGTGAGCTACTCGACGCGTACGCCCCGGAAGCCCGTCCTTCAAATGACTCAGGCACCACTGCGTCACCGTCTGGCGGTCCATCGGCTCACGGCACACCGTCTCCCCGGTCGAAATCAGACAAACGGCGCAAGAGCATGGCGTCTGACAAACAATCGCTGGCCCACCTCCCATCCACGTTGGACAAGATCCTTCTCGCCAACGATGTGGCGGAGATGCTCATCACACACTGGCGCGCCATTGTCTACGAGATGAAGCACATGGGCATCATGAGGAAAGAGTCAATGCTGCAGCATACACACCAGTTGGCAGCCCGTTCTGCGCAGCCTATGCCGCGGTCACTCCGTCCTTCTAGGTCCGAGACGTTCACTGACCATAATATGGGTGCAATGGTCCAGCAGGCCTCAGATCTGTATAGCGCAAATTTGCGCAAGACGCGCAGCGCCTCGAACACCCGAAACGCCATCGATGCAATGAGCGGCAAACAACCTCCCGTCTACAATGTTCCTCCACAGCGACCGTCGGACATGTCGTTTGAAGAGTTTGCAGCGCGCAAAAAGCTCAGAAATTACGCTTCCAACATGTCAATTGCTTCCGATTCTACCTACTCGGCAATCGAGCCGCAGCCCGTCAAGCCTTTGTCTCCACCAGTGGAGGATCCCTTTTACGTTCCGGGCTCCATCGCCATATCAACTCGCTCTGGTGCCGCCAAATTGACAAAACAGCGCCGGGCGAGTGGTGGATTCTCGTCTATTTTTGGAGCCGACAAGGCGGCGTCATCGCCGACGAAGGACCTGCCAAAGGTAGCAAGAAAGGCAGTCAACGGCCACAGCGATGGCCGTTCTAGGACCTCGGAAGGGGACGACAACGTGGCCCCGCCGTCGAGCCTGTCGCTGAGCCCAACCAAGGTTCGAGGTGGTGTGCCACATCAGACAAGCGATTCCAGGAAAGCATCGGGGTCGCGTAGGAAAGCGACACCCACGCGGTCGCACCATACGATCGATGCTGTCGACGCCTGCCTGTCTGAACCTGCTGGGCGTGTTGGCATTGGAGGCACCCCGCAGTCAAAGACAGCCGCACTGATTGCCAAAATCATGAATACCAACAAGCCGCCACCAACACCAACACCGGTTAAAAGGGCCGACGTGACGACCGGTGACTTGTCTAGCCGCAAGCAGAAGGCCGTAAGGGCAACGCACGACACACCGAGATTCTTTGACTCAAAGTCTGCTGGCAACAGCCCGACCAAGACACATGGACAGTGGGTGCGAGGAAACTCTTCACCAGCCACCAAGCCGGAGAACCGGCCTATCCAGCCCACTGCTATTGTTTCACCGACGCCTAGACGGCCATGGAAGGCACAGGCCAGTGCATCGGTCCTTGCCCATGGGCGTGAAAGTCCACCGTCGAGTAGGGTGAAAGGTCTACAGTCGCCGGCCACGCGACTGATGGACACTGCAGGAGCCGTGGGAAGGCAGTCGCCGAAGTCGCGATCCTACGGCACTGGAAAGCCCCCTTCGACGCCACAGAAAAAGCCTGTTCGTGAATCAGGAGCTATGTCAGTCAAGGGCGTGAGTGTGGGACAAAAGAGCGAGGACAAGCAATCCAGGCACGCTACACAGGAGCAGCGTGCCATCGAACAGCTCGTCAATGACACCACGTCGCCTCTTTCTGAAATAAAGAATGACGCCCGCAACATGACGCGAGCCAACTCGACCAGCTCTCGGGCGTCGAAACGGACACAGCCAGACAGGGTCCATATGGAAGAGCCCAAATCCCCTGCGGCTGGTAGCTCTGTGAAGGCGATGGCGGCAATGTTCGACACGGCGGCCTGGCGATCATCGGAATCGTTGCCCCTTCCTCTGACCAGCCCGCAGATGGCAAAGCCGCGCACACCGAAGCGAGGCTCGGCTCTGTCCCAATACACGAGCAACACGTCGCCTTCCAAAACGGCAGAGTTTGTGACACCACCACACCCTACGGTGCAGCCAAGACAAGCAACTCTCGACAAGACGGAGGGCCGGGGAACCGACACGTCAGTACTGCAACGGACGGCTAGTGAGCGGAGACGGTTGCGACTTACAAAGAGCGAGGGCAGGAACGGTCCTCTTGGTAAAGTCGGCCGGCTCACCGCTACCGAGCGGAGAGAGCTAGCGCGGCCCGTGGACCGAAACGAAGTGAGAGCCGGTACGGGGCATCAAATACCATTCGGAATGGCAAAGGACAGTACAGCAAAGGTCTCTGGGAAGAAAACCACAGCACCACCACCGCCGGGCAACACGTCATTGCTCGCACGAGGCGGCACACCAGTACTGTCCCGCTCCAAAGGAAGACCAGTGTCAGTGGTGCTTTCGTCTGAACGTTCAGCTTCGGCGGTGGAACTGGAGCTGCAGCGGCTTTTGGACAGCAAAACGACCGAATGCAACACTTGGAAGACGAGGGCTCAGGCGGCCGAAGCCAAAGTGGCAGAGTTGGAACTGGCACTCGCCCGCACGAGTGTTACCGACGCGTCCAAGGTGGAATCGTTTACTTCAGTATCGGATCAAGGTGGAGACCTGTCGTGGTCATGGCAAGACTTGCTCCCAGAGACAGCCGCGATCCAGCGGGCACCAGAAAAGCTGGACATGTCGAGTATGGTTCGGGAGATTCGGTACGACGGTGCAATGCCTGCGCCGCTGAGCACGGTGTCCCGTCTGCGGAAGGATTTTGAGACGGATGACAACAACGGCTCGGAAACCAGCGGTGGATCGGATGCGCATGGTCGGTTGATAAACAAGCGACTTCTACCTTTTTAATGTACGATAAGAGAATCATGGTTATGAAGAACGGGGAGGGGACAAAAGGGGGCAACAGGGAGGGCCAGGAAAAGCGAAGAATGGACAAAAGACGAAGAAGAGTGTACTTTGTATTCTAGAACGTGATGGCTACGAATAATGATTCAAGTCCAAGTTACGCCCCATACATGCATGCAACCACGACAAACATGGCAGTTCTCATACGTAGATACATTTTGTAGAATGCTGGCTATCTTACACATGGCAGGCCGGACATGCTCGACGTGCTCGACATGCTGTTGAAAATAATAATTTTGTATACACAAATAGCAGCCAAACGACCTTGCTCCCAATAGTAAAAAAAATAAAGTAAGAGTCTGTCCGTCGACCCGCTCCCTCCGACATACTACCGGCCTTAACGCACAAACTTGCGGCGCGGCGTGGCAATGCGGTGGGTGTACTTCCACAGGTGACGGTACTTGGGGCCCTGGTGCTTGGCCTCCCAGCCGCGGGCTTTGCGCGGCGGCTTGAGCGACGGCAGGCGCGTGGCCTTGAGCTCGAGGTCGGCGCCGGGGACACCGAGGCGCTCCATGACGCCCTCGGTGCCGGCGTCCCACTGGGTGCGGAACAGCGTGCAGCCGACGACTGTCAGGTCGTGCTTGTCGACGAAGCTGCGAAGGGAAAAGTTGTCGCGGTTGGCCGTGGGCGACAACGACGACGAGGAGGAGTCGGCGCCGGCGGCAATGGCCGAGGCCGGGTCGCTCGCAAAGGCCTTTTGCAGCGCGGCGGTGTCGATGCGGCTGCTGTTCTTGTCAAAGGACTCGGCGTCGACGGGCGGCTGCTCGAGGACAAAGACGGCCAGGCGGTGCGGGCCAGAGCCCTTTTGCGCAAAGGCCGGCAGCCAGGGCAGGACGACCTGGCTGGCGGGGTCGAGGCGGGCGAGCGGGACCGAGGGGTCGGCGGGCGCGACGGGGATGTTGGTGGCCAGAAAGTGGACGCGGCGCGAGAAGCCGTCGGACGTCAGGTCGGGCACATCAGGGTCGACGACGACGACCGACACCAGGCGGGTGCCGCGGTCAAAGACCTGGATGCGCAGGCGCGGCGTGACCTCGGAGATCAAGCTGTCGACGATGGCGCCGTGGGCGACCTTGTAGGTGCGGAAGAAGAGCTCGACGTCGGCGGACGGGTGGATCTGGCTGGGGGGCAGCAGATCGGGGGCCAGGTGGAACTGCTGGATGCGCTGCTGGATGAGCCGCAGGGGACGGCCGCGCCAGCGCTCCTGGGCGAGGTAGCGGTAGATGGGCTTGTTCATGTCGCCGAGGCCGTCCTCGAAGCGGCGCTTGACGAGCGGGTCGTTGATGTCGGCCAGCACCTTGAGGTGCTCGAGATGCCTGCGCAGGCTGCCCAGGCGCTTCTGCAGGTAGGCCGTGCCGCCGCGCGACGTGACCTTGGACGGGTCGCCGGCCGCCAGGACCTCTTCGAGCTTGCGGATCTTGGCCGTCTCGGCGGCAATCTGGCGCAGCTTCTCCTCGCGGTCCGCCCGCAGCACCTTGCGGGCCTCCTGGAAGCACTGGTACGGCATCAGCTCAAAGGGCACTGGCCCGCCGTCCTGGCCAGCAAGCGTGTCGTTGCCGGCCTTGGCACGGTTCAAGGCCGTGGTCGTCTGCAGGGCCGCACGCCGCCGCCGCGAGCCAACGGGCGGCGTGCCGCGGCGCATGAGCTCTCGCTCGGCCCAGGGCAGCGTGGTCAGATTGGGATCTTGCTGCCAGCCCTCAAGGTCTTCGAATCGTCGTGGTGGCGGCGGGGGCGGTGTGGCTGAGGAGGAGGACGACGAAGAAGAAGTAGAGGAGGTGGTGGGAGTCAATTGGCGAGTCGACGTCGAGAAGAGAGCCTGCGTCGAGGACTGCGTGGCAGCAACAGCAGCGGCTGGTCGGAGGACGAGACTGACTTGTTCGCTGCGACGGCCACCGGCCCGCAGGCATTGCACGAGCGGCCGTGCTGCCGGCGTGTACCGGGACATTGTGGAGGGGTGGTTGAGAACAGGCGGGGTGGCCGGTCCGTCGGTCTGGGTGGTGTCGTGTTGTGTTGGTGTGGTGCTGCTCTCAAAAAACAATGAAGCTATTCACAGCTCCCATAATTTACCACGCGACAATTTTTTTCCAAGTGCAAACTGGCAGGGGCTCCACAGCACCTTCCGCCCGCCAAACTCAAGTACAGAGCGCGCACGTGATGTCCATTTATGGTAAGTTCGCTAAATCTGCGGGCTCTGATTGGCCAATGTCGAACCCGCACCCGGGACTGTGTCTGTTGCGCTAGCGACTGTTTTTTCTCCCATCACGACCTCCAACCAGACATCAACCGAAGCTTCAGTTGTACCGGTGCCATCATTGCCGTCGTCTGTCCTGCGCCTGCACCGAGCTCCATACCCACCACTCTGGGCATTCGACATCACTCTCCCTGGGCTGTCACGATCTCACTCGCCTGCTACCGCCTAGCGCCTCACAATGGCTGCACGGCGTGGAGCGCAGAGCCTCTCGGAGGCCTTTTATGGCCTGACGCTGAGCTCCCAGACCGGCCGCAAGGCTCTCGTGGTGCGTACTTCCTGACACCTGTATCGTCTGTTTTTCTTGACAGCATCCTCCTAACACGTGCATCTCCAGCCTCGCTCCTCCACTGCCTCCTCATCACCACAACAACCTCGCGCGTTCTCGACATTACCATCACAAAACAAGCCTTTGGCGACAACACCGCGTTCCGCCTCGCCCGCCGCCTCCTCCTCCGCCTCCTCCTCTTCCTCTCATTCAAAGCGCATGCCGTCCTCGTTTGCGTCCACCGTCCCGCCGCCTGCCACGGCCCCCACCACCGTCCAGAGCATCACCGAGCGTACCGTCCCCGTCACTGTGTTTGCCTTCCCGAGCCTCGAGCCCCGCGCCCTCGAGCTCTGGCCCGCCCAGCACCTGCAGCTGCCCCTGCGCCGCGACCTGCTGCACTTGGCTGTCGTGTACGAAGGCGACAACACGCGCCAGGGCACGGCCTCGTCCAAGACCCGCTGGGACGTCCACGGCTCCCACCGCAAGATGCGCAGGCAAAAGGGATCGGGCATGGCCCGCGTCGGCACGCGCCAGTCGCCTCTGATACGCGGCGGTGGCAAGACCTTTGGCCCCCACCCGCGCGACTTTGGCACCGACCTCAACCGCAAGATGTACGATCGCGCCTGGCGGACCGCGCTGTCCTACCGCTACCGCCGCGGCGAGCTGATTGTGTGCGAGGACGGCCTGGAGCTACCGCTGCCCGACGCCTTTTTGCGCCTGGCCCAGGCCGGCACGCTCGACCGCTCCCTCGAGGACGGCTTTGTCAAGCGCTATGTCCGCTCCCTCCTGAACGGCGACATGGACGCGGCGTCCACGCGGTCGACGACGCCGCTGGTCGGCGGCACCAGTGATGTTGTCCCTGGCATTGCGGCAGCGGCCGGCACGGGCATCGGCAGCATCGGCCAGGCATGGGGCCGCCTGGCCGGCCGCACCACGTTCATCACGACCGACCGCCGCCCCAACCTGTTCACCAGCCTCGAGACCGCCGGCGAGGACGGCCGCGCGCTGGCCGTCGCCGACGTCGACGTCAAGGACCTGCTGGAGACGGGCCGCATTGTCGTCGAGCGCGCCGCGCTGCACGAGATGATTGACGCGCACCAGAGCGATCTGGTCAGCCGCATCTACATCCAGGGCGCAAAACCGAGCGGTCTGGCTACAGGTCAGACAGTCATTGGTTGAGTAGTTGAGGCGGACGATAAAAAAAATATACGAAAACCATCAAATTTGCATGTACGAGTACGACTAGGACAGGATTCAAATTTAGCAAAGCATTTCCGTATTTTTTGACAATGATATGTGCGCATTCTTCAGAAGACTAGAAATCAGTTGTGATACACCAGTTTGACCAACAGCTTTAATATGTGGGGCCTAATTGTTTCTCACACGTGATGCATCACGTGGTTTTAATTGAGAACGCGCCTTCCTTACTGTAACGCGTCAAGCTCATCTGCCCCTCCAAACATTCCCAGCGACATCATCACTTCACAGCCCGCATTCCGCACCGACGATACCGCTCCTTTGCTGGCATCCATCTTCGTTTTCCATAAGCTCTCCCACGCACCTTCTTCGCCCCGCCACCCTTGCCCAAGATGGCCTCCATGGAAACGCCGAGGGTCTCGTGTTCGTACCTCAACAGCTACGTCAACCATAACGTCCTTATTGTGGGCAAGGTTGTCCAGCTGCGCGGCGAGAGTGCCATTCTCGACGCAGATGGCCATATTACCGTCAACCTGAACCGGGTGCGTATGCCAGCGATCGATGGTGTGGCAGGAGCAAGTTCACCTACTAAATCCCTCCTTAGGAATCACGTCTCGTTGGCGGCAATGCTGCTCAGATTGTCGGCAAGGTCATGCCGGACCTGTCGGTCAAGGTGCTGAGTGCACAAGATTTGGGCGTGGATGTCGGTATGTGCAGTGGCGATGTCTGCCGATTAGCATTCATGATTCACAATTGGATTATTTGCTGACATTCGCGATTATAATTATAGACCTCGATCTAGCGCAAAAGGTTGTCGAGATATCACAGGAAAACAAGGCCATTTTCGGCGGCGCTGCATGAGATGTCGACTGAGACATGGTGTTGAGACAAATGCCAACTCATAAAGTGCTCGTCGTTTGTGCTCCTTCCTGATACCTTGACCATATGGGAATGTGATGATGTGAATGTAAAACCATTAATTATTAAGCGCTTCGCAATAGGAGGGGTATTCATTATTTCATATATTTTGTGCTGCCGGCTACGACGTCGGAATGACGCTTTAGATGAGCTGCTCGTCGGATAACATGGATAGTGACAAAGGTTTATTGTGCCCAATATCACGGACTACGTTTCTTGACATTTCTGCTGCCTCACGCTTAAATCTCACGGAGTCAATCATCATGAAACAGTTGATGGTAATGTGAAGCATTGCCTGTTACTCACGATAGACACCTGCCATTGACACTGCCTTCTCTTACCTCACGATTACTACGACGATGCACATTTATTACAGTCTGCCTCGTGTGCTACTTATTCTCTACCTCCGATTCATGTCTCACTTTTCTCTCAGAAACGACTATAAATGTCGGGCCCAGCCCGCTCCTCACCTCGACGATTTGAACTCGAAACCACAGATCAAACAACCAACACAACCAGACTATTTCCAGCTACAAACGGAATTACCCAAGCAACACCACCGCCAACAACAACCATCACAATGGCTCCCCCTAATCAAATGACCAGCGGTGACTCGTCGCGCATCCAGTCGAGCCAGGTCAGTCGAAAACCGTGTCCTTGACATGTCCGTGTGCATCCAGTTTGTTGCTGACGATTCTTTTGCTTGTGAATAGTCCCGCGGTGGAAAGGACATGTCCTCGGGTGGATTTGCCGCGCGCGCCCAGTCTGCTGCGGCAACCAACACGAACAACGCCAATGCCGCAAACAGCGGCGGCAACATGGGCTCCATGGGCAGCACCAAGGGCAGCGGCGCTGGCTCTGGCAAGAAGTAGATGGTATGCCCATAAAGGCATGACCCTTCCGGACGTTGGAGCAACGCAAGGAGCACGGGACGGAAACAAGGAGACTAAGAGAAGAGAGGCAGGAGACAGCAATGGATTGTGATTGGATTTCATTCTTTCTCACAGTCTATAAGAGTGAAACATTACCATGAAATTTGACTGCCCGTGCCCACACAGTGACCATTGATATATGCCAAACAGCGCGTCGCCATGAGAAAACAAACCAAGAACAAAACATACCCACATAGAGCCGCCACAGGTCATAACCCTTTCATGATATCCGTGTCCCTCTCTACTCGTCATCACTGTCTGCAAGGAAGCCCGACTTGGCCCGTGCCGTCCGTTTCTTGCTGGCGACCGGAACATCGTCGTCAGCATCATCGTCCACGTTGTTCGTCCCATCGGCGTTGGTGTTGCCATTGAGCTGGATCTGTCCGCCCGTCTTTTCAGACAGGACGGCAGGTGATGATCGGTCCACGTCCATGGCGTCACCACTTTGACTGGCCACTGGAATTGGATTCTCGACAGTCGTCTGCTTCTTGTTGTCATCCTCATCCTCCTCGTCACTGCTGTCAACGAAGCCGGCATGCAGTCGTCTCCTCGGCGGCGCCTTCTTCTTGACGACGACCTCATCGGCATCGCCGTCAGCGTCGTCCGTGCCCGACGCCGCTTCGCTCGACTTTCTCCGCTTACGGCTTCGCCGGCCTGATGCTGGCAGGTCTTGTGAGGAGGTAAGGCCAAGGTCGCTGCTGTCATTGAGGTCATCGTCGTCCTCGTCCTCATCGTCCTCGGACAACACGGTCGATGTGCGCTTGGCTTTGGTCGGCTTGCTCGGTGTGGTGGCCAAGGCATCGCTGTCGTCGCCCTTGCTCGACAGCAGACTCTGCTGCACAGCACTGTGGATCCGCTTCCTGGTCGCCTCCTCGCGCGCAAAGAACTCGCGGTCCTTCTCGTCGTCCGTCTCATCGTCGCTCGCGTGCACATACACGTCGCTCTTGATGCGCCGCGCCTTTTCGAGCTCTTTGGCCCGCCGCAGCCGCGCCCTCGCATCGCGTTCTTCTTCTGTCAGGCCCTCGAGCTCGTTGCCGTCCTCGTCCGTCTTCTTGCGGCGCCGCCGGATGGTTCTCCTTTTGCCGTCCAGGCCGTCTTCGACGACGTTTCGGGCCGTCGGACCGCCGGCCGGGAACAGCATCTCGTCGTCAATCCTGCCGTCCTCGTCTTCGCCGTCGTCGTCGTACACCGCCTTCTTGCGGGGCGCCGTCTTGCGCTTCAGCTGGTCCTCGGCCGACTGGTTGTTGTCAAAGGTCGGCGGGTCAAACTCGGCCCGGTTGATAAACTCGAGCGACTCCTCAAGCTCGTCGGCGGTGATGTGCGACGCGAAGATCCACGTCGACTCAGGCGTCTCGTCGATCGAGGGCGCCAGGCGTTCCATGCCCACCAGCTGCATCAGAAGACGCAGATGCGAGTTCTTGAACATGGCCTTCTTGCAAGCGTCGTCGCTGGGTCGAATGGTAATGGTGGGGGCGTCACGCCTGACAACGGAGGCCGTAGTGGGTGTGTCGAGCGGGGTGGACTCGTCACCGTCTGCTGCTGAGGCTGTCTCCGCCGCAGCGGCAGCAGTCGCGGCAGTCTCAGTCGCCTTCCATGCCCGCCGCTCGGCTGCGGCCATGCCAACCTGGTCCTTGATCCAGGTGAGCAGATCGTGGTGGTTTTTGTCCAAGAGAACGCCCACCAAGATCGCAATCTGGCGGTCCTTGTCCAGGTCCTCACGGAACTCGAGCAGCCCGCCAGGCTTCGGCGCGGACGACGACACGGTCTGTTTCTCGTAACCGTACTCGAGGAAGTGTGCCGTGCCAGCCGTCTTCGAGAACAGCATCTCAATGATCAACACGGGCCGCTCCTCCATCTTCTTGAAGCACTTGCGCAGAATCTGCCTCGAGAGCTCCTCCCAGTCACGGTACATGGCGTTCTGCCGGTCGAGAGGCTCGGGTCCCTTGATCATGTTGAAGAGCAGCCGAACAATGTCCACGCGGAAGAGCATGACGCTCATCTCCTGCTTGAAAGCCACGCGGTAGAAGAAGCGGTGCGCGCGCTTGAGCTGGGCGTCGCTGAGATCTTGGTAGTTGTGGAGGAGCTTGACAAATGTGTTGATGACGCCCTGCACCGCAAAGCGGGCGGAAAAGCGCTTGAAGTCAAAGTTGCGCTCTGTGCTTGTTTTTTGGGCGGCTGCTTCGTCGTCGGCGGACTCGTCATCGTCGTCATTCTGTGCGTCGGGGGCCAAGTGCTCGGCGTCACCGCCGTCCCCTGCAGCATCGCCCATGGCAGCCCCTGTGCGCGCCGCCGCCTTGGCTGCCTTCTTCTTTGTCCGGGTTCGCCGACGCGAGCGGACCTGGAGGTCTACGTTCTGCTTCGAATAGGCTTCGAGTATGCGCAAGTAGGTGTGCGCAAGTTCTGTACAGGCATCGAGGTACTCGTAACCCTGGTCCTTGAAGTTCTTGACAATGTTGGTGACGGCGTCGTGGGTCGTTTCTTCGTAAAAGAGACGGCTCAAAATGTTCTCGGCAATCTCCTCGTCGTCTTCGCTCTTTGACTCTGACATTTCTTGCACGGTCAAAAGAATCTGCGTGAAACAGCGCATCACCACCATCAACTCGGGCCAGTCCTTGTCGTTGTTCGACCGGTCGAGGGCGCGCCCCAGGAAAATGAACATTTCTTGGTTCAGCACGCCGGCCACGAGGTTAAAGCTGCTGACCTCGTCCGCAGGCGGTTGAGCCGGATGGGCGTTCTTTTGGCTCCGCTGGGCCGTCTGGGCCTTTTGTGCCTTTTGCGCCTTTTGCCGCATGCGCTCGGCCTCGAGGAACCAGGACACCAGGTAGAAGAACTGGGCGCGATGGTGGTGCTGGACGTGCGGGGCCTCACGGTCAATCGACTTGCGAATGTGCTGGAACAACGGGTTGAAGCCGGCGTCCAGAAACTCCTCGACAAACTTGCGCAGCTGAGCGTTAGCGCGCGCGTTGAGGGACACGGGCGCGCCAAGGCCGACGAGCTCCTGCTTCTCGTCGCGCTTGCGGCCGCGGCGGGGCGGCCGAAACTTCTTGCTGTTGTCCATTTTGCGTTCGCGGGCGGCAGAGCCCATCAGCGCGTCCTGGCCCGACAGCGTCGACATCTTGCCCTCGCCGCGGTCGACCCAGACCATGGTGCCGAAGCGGCTGTGGCGCGTGGGGCCGTTCTTGTTGAAGGCGTGCAGCATGGCCGTCTCCTTCTGCATCATGTCGGTCAGCTCGGAGGCCTTGGTGTGGTTGAGCTGCGTCGCGTCCATAAACAGCTTGGCGGTGTCGACGCGCTTGACGAGGTGGAAGATGATCTCCATGACGGTCGTGTCCTCTGTGCGGAAATCCTCGCCCATGTTGGAGGCCACCGTCAGCAGCACCAGAAAGATGTCCTGGTACGAGAAGGCGTCAATGGTGGTGGACCGCGAGATCTGTGACTCGTCGCCGTCATACTGGACGCCGGGGGGCGGCTCGATCATGGCGACATTGCGCAGGAAGAACAGAACCAGCTTGATCACGCCCTGGTCGCGCAACGAGCGGTCGCCGAGGGGGACAGCCATGGACGGCAGGGCCGCACGCACGGCCGTGTGCAGGATCTGGGCGCCGTCGTAGTTGACAATGGCGCGCTTGTAGGACAGCTGGGCCAGCTGCAGCACGGGCAGGTGGCGGTGGTGGTTGACGGTCATGGTCTCGGGGTCCTTTTCGAGCGGCCAAGTCAACGGCGTGAGGATCTCGTAGCAGGCGAGGGCGACACGGGCACGAAAGCGCTGCAGGTTGGCGTTCTCGTGCCATGTGGCCAGAATGGCGAGCAGGTCGCCGCCGACCAGGTTCGTCTCGGCCAAGCAGCGGGCCACGTCCATGCGGTTGAGTTTCTGGTCGTAGAAGCGGATCCATTTCTTGATGTCGCGCAGGACGTCGAGGGCGTCGTCGCCCAGCTGGTACGTGCCATCTTCGTCGAAGCCGCCGAGCTGCCGCGTTGGTGAGAATGTTAGACCAATGACTGCCACAGGCTCCTGTCCGCCGGTCCCGCACACGTCCCCGCCCTCATTAAACATACCGCAGACACAAGACTCGTGATATGTGCTCGAACTTCGGGATGAACGACGTCCACCGGCTCCATGGCCTCGTTTGCTGCCTTGGCGTCCATTGTCGCCGAAGTGAAGAGAACCGCTCAGAGTCGGAGTCGGCTCTCAATGCTCGAATGGTCCGGCAACAGGGCGCAGGACCGTGGTTGTTGGCGGTGGTGATGCTGTTTGTGAGCTTCAATGGCACGAAGTACACCAAAAACAGCCACTTAATGCGCTTTACGCGGGGAGACGCGTCTGGCGCGTCGCTGCCACAAGGCCGTGAATTGTGGGGCTCCACTGTATTCAGTGCGTCACCACACGTGCCATGCCATGTGACTTTATTGATGTTAGTCAGCAACAGTCGGTGGGGCAGTGGCGGCCACCCAATGGCTCAGAATCGTAATTTTTCCCACAGCCTAGAATCGATCACCACCACCACCTTGCCACCATCCTCAGCCCACGACCCCAAGCAATCCCGGCCGAGCGACACACGCACAACACATCCGCGCCTCCCCTCACGCCTGACGGGACCGACAAGGCAGACACGGCGCGCTGCACGCCCGCACCCAATTGACCAGCAGCGTGAGCAGTCGCTCCACTGAGAATTTTCGAGTTTTCGGAGCTCAGCTTTCTTTCGGCTTCTGTTCCCATTCGAAAATCACGAGACTGTTTTCTCCGCCAAGATCCGCGCCCGGCAACGCCACCTTTGGTTCGCTCAACACACCCGCATCCGGACTCCGACGCATCCTCGACACCGTCGACACCGTCATCCATGCCCCTGTAGGCGAGCCGGTGCTTCCTGTGCTTCCGAATCCCCTCATCCTTCCTGTCGTCCGCCGCGGCGTCACGTCCTCATCTGTCTGTTCAGTCACAGGCCACAATGAGCGGCACGACACTGCTCCGGCTGCGGCCCTCGCCGTCGGCCTCGTCGGCCACGACTGCAGCAACACGGCTGGCGCTGGCACGTCGTTCGCCGAGCAGACAGCAGACGGCGTTTGTCCGGCTGCATTCGTCCGCTCCGTCTCCCTCGTCCTCCTCCCCCCTTCGCCGGCTTGCGTCGGCCGCTGCCTCTTCCGCACCCAAGCCCCGGTGCATGCTCGCTTCTACACCGTTACGAGCTACGCTGTCCCCCAGCGCTGCCACACAGTCCGCGCTGCAGCAGTCGCTGCGATTCTACTCGGCCGGACCGACCCCGCCGCCGTCCAATGGCCGTCGGAAGAGAAAATCCGACAAGGAAGGGGAGTCGGCTGTGCCGAAGAGCGAGGAGAACAACGCGTCCACCGAGCAGGAGAAGCTCGCCGAGCAGGCTGACCGTCTCGAGGATGGTGGCAAGCTCGGCAGCGAACAGTCGCCCCAGGACAACCAGCAGCAGACCCAGCGGTCCCAGCAGTCGCAGACGGACGCCGAGGCATCGTCCGACAAGACCAGCCAACCGCCTGTGGAGGAGCGGCCCCTGCCGCCAAACTGGGTCCGCCTGAACGACGAGGAACTGGCCATTCTGTCCCGCATCCTGTCTTTTTCGCCGCCGTCGCGCCGCGACAGCATGCTCGAGGTCATTGAGGGTGTGCGTCGCTACGGTGCGCCGGTCGAGCTGCGTGAGCTGATTGCCAAGCAAAAAGCCGGCGGCCTCAGCCTGGCCGACGGCATGAAGGTCGTCAAGGTGGCGTTCAACATGGCCAAGCAGTTCTCGGACGACGAGGCCGGCATGCACTCCGCCAACCGCCCACCCAGCGACCCGGCCAACAAGGACAGCCAAAACGACCAGCGCAATCAGCACGGCATGTTCAACTCCAACGACCCGCAGCAGCCCAGCTCGCACCAGCCGGGTGCGTCTGGCCAGCCGAACCTGAACAACGACGGTGGCAACAACAACAGCAACAACAACAACCAACAAGGCCAAGACGGCCAGCAACAGGGCGGCAACAAGGGCGGTGACGGCAAAAAGGGCGGCCCCAAAAGCATATTCGAGGGCAACGACTGGGTCGGCTGGGCGCTCGGAGCGGCCATCTTCTACCCAATCTACTCCATCCTGTTCCCCGGCGGCCAGACGACCGAAATCACGTGGCAGGAGCTGCGGCGCAACTTCCTTGACCGCGGCCTTGTCGAGCGGCTCACGGTCACGGGCAAGCGCGTCCTTGTCGAGCTGAACCGCGAGGCCACGCAGTCCGCCTACCCCGACTCGGCCGCCGCCAACCCGTGGCAGCAGTACTACTTTTCCATCGGCTCGGTCGACAGCTTTGAGCGCCGCCTCGAAGAGGCCCAGGACGAGCTGCAGATCCCACCGTCCGAGCGCCTCCCCGTGAGCTACGCCTCAGAGGGCATGCTCGGCAGTCTGCTGATGGGCTTCGGTCCGTCGATCCTGCTGATCGGTCTCATGTACTGGTTGACGCGGCGCGGCGCCGGCGGCATGGGCGGCTCCAGCGGCATCTTTGGCTACGGCAAGAGCAAGGCCAAGCGCTTCAACCACGAGTCGGCCGTCAAGGTCAAGTTCTCGGACGTGGCCGGCATGGACGAGGCCAAGGTGGAGATTATGGAGTTTGTCAGCTTCCTCAAGCAGCCCGAGCGCTTCCAGCGCCTGGGTGCCAAGATTCCGCGCGGTGCCATCCTGGCCGGTCCGCCCGGTACTGGCAAGACGCTGCTGGCCAAGGCCACGGCCGGCGAGTCGGGCGTGCCCTTTTTCAGTGTGAGCGGTTCCGAGTTTGTGGAGATGTTTGTCGGCGTCGGTGCGTCGCGTGTGCGCGACCTGTTTGCCACGGCACGCAAGAGCGCGCCCTGCATTGTCTTCATCGACGAGATCGACGCCATTGGACGCTCGCGCGGCGACGGCAAGTTCAGCTCGGGCGGCAACGACGAGCGCGAGGCCACGCTCAACCAGATCCTGACGGAGATGGACGGTTTCAACACGTCGGAGCAGGTGGTCGTGCTGGCCGGCACGAACCGCCCCGACATCCTGGACAAGGCGCTCATGCGTCCCGGCCGCTTCGACCGTCACATCAACATTGACCGCCCCACGATGTCGGGCCGCCAGGACATCTTCCGTGTCTACCTGGCCAAGATTGTTACCAAGGAGGACATTGACTACCTGGTCGGCCGTCTGGCCGCGCTGACGCCGGGCTTTGCCGGTGCCGACATTGCCAACGCCGTGAACGAAGCTGCTCTCGTTGGTGAGTCTGTTTGTGTACTTTGTTGCTTTCGTTTATGCTGTTTTCCGTGTGAACCGTACTGACCATTCCGCGTTCCGCGTTCCGCGTTCCAGCCGCCCGTGCCAATGCCGAGACGGTCGAGATGAAGCACTTTGAGCAGGCCATTGAGCGCGTCGTCGGCGGTCTCGAACGCAAGTCGCTGGTGCTCAACCCCCAGGAGAAGCGCACCGTCGCGTACCACGAGGCTGGCCACGCCATCTGCGGCTGGTACTTTGAGTATGCCGACCCGCTGCTCAAGGTCTCCATCATCCCCCGCGGCCAGGGCGCGCTGGGCTACGCGCAGTACCTGCCCGTCGGCGACGCCTACCTGATGAACGTCAAGCAGCTCATGGACCGCATGGCCATGACGCTCGGCGGCCGCATCTCGGAGGAGCTGCACTTTGACACGGTGACGACGGGCGCCAGCGACGACTTCAAAAAGGTCACGCGCATGGCCACGACCATGGTGACCGAGTGGGGCATGTCCGACAAGGTCGGCCCGCTGCACTTCCGCCAGGACGACCAGAACCAGTTCCAGAAGCCGTTTGCCGAGTCGACGGCGCAGACGATCGACGCCGAGGTGCGCCGCATCATCGACGCCGCCTACAAGCAGTGCAAGGACCTGCTGACGGCCCGCAAGGCCGAAATTGGCCTCGTCGCCGAGGAGCTGCTGCGCAAGGAGATGCTGACGCGCGACGACCTCGTGCGCCTGCTGGGCCCGCGGCCGTTCCCCGACAAGGACGAGTTCTCAAAGTACTTTAACAACGACGCGCCGCCACCATTCCCGCCCTCCAACACCGACACAGATCTGGGCCCGGCCCCAGCCCCGGCCCCCGCGTTCAAAGGGTAGTCGGTCGTCGACTGTCTTTGGCTCCCTGTTTCATTGTGTTTGTTTCTGTCCTCCTCTTTCGGTCATATTTGTGATATAAAACCCCCATTCCTCTCTCTCCCTTTGTCTAAACTAAAACATACGGCATGCATACTGGGCCATGATCTCTTGATAGTTTTTTGTGTCGGACTTTTCATTCGGAGGTGGAGGCGTTTTTGTCTTTTGCCATTGTGTTTTATGTTTTCTTTTTTTCCTTTTCTTTTTTTTCTTCTTAAAAGCCACATCACAAAAAAATAAGAAAATCACTTCCATCGGCATGACGGCAACGAGAGGAACGAGAGCATTGCAGCGCTTGTGTGTCTGGGTCGGTCGGGCAATGGGAAACGAATCCATGGACGAGAAGCACCCTACTCTATTTTTTATTTTTTTGTTCCTGTTTATTTTCCCGTTTTTCTTCCTATATTGGGCTTTCTGCTTCGTGTTTCTAATTTTAGATGGACAAAGCCAGATGGAAAGAAGACCTCGAATCAAGGACTTGGACAGTCACCGGAAGCAAGACTGTAAATATGTACAATACGATATATACACTTCCAACGTTAAATAATGGTGCAATTCTGGTGTCCGTGAAACGACGACGTGTGCAACAAGCAATCTGTTGATAACGCATCACCACTGAGAGCGTCTCAATAATTATGTGCAAATGTGCTTTCAGCCTCACGTGTGAGTTTTGATAATTTGTCGTTCGGGTCTGAAAGGTAAGCGTTTGGCATGCAGCGAGGCTTTTTTTCTTTTCTATTTCTTTTTCTTTTTTTCTCCTCCCCCCCCCTTTTTTTTCTCCCCCATGACAACTGCAGCCGATTTCCGCCACATCCGTCAAAATAAGTCCCGCGTCTGTGCCGCTCACATGCATGTCACACTGCGTCTGGACCAGGAAGGAGGTTGATCGCTGTTCCAATCACCATCTGCCGGCTGCTTTTGTCAGATAAAGGGATCGCCAAGTGAGGAGTATGTTGTAGCGAGCCAAGGTTTCTCGGGGCCCCCATTCCCCCTCTCCTCCTCTGCCAAATCTCTCTGGCCACCCTGCCGACCGTGCATTTCTCCGCATTTCTTACCTCCACCTCCGTTGTCCGCCTGGCTAGCCAAAATCGGGCAAAGCCACAACAGTAACTTACACCTACTCGAGACATGCGCTGCTACCATAACAGGATATGGAGCAGGGGACGGTTTAAATGGAGACAACAACGGTCGACTAGCATCATGCTGCAAAGTCTTGTTGTCCCTCTTCCCCTCATTTGGCGAGCTGACCGCCCCTCGTGGGTTCGGGGTGACTAGCAGGGAATAATATGCCGACGAGAAATACCGGGGAAGACAAGGGGGTAAGACGGAGAACGGAGTAGCAGCTAAGAACGAGTTATGAAGCAACAGCCGTATAAGGAAAGAAAACAAAACGTGGGAATTATGAATTAGAAAACCAAAATAGCGCAGGTGAAATAAGAAAATAAGGGGGGGAAACGTAAAGAAAGACAGGACGAAAAAGAAACGAGAAAGGTAAAAAAAAAAAGAAGAGAAGAAGATGAGAAAAGAAAAAAAAGAAATGAAAACAAAAAGAAACAAAAAGAGGAAGGTCGAGCCCTTCCGTTTCTCGTGTCCTCCATTTCTGGTTCAATGCAACAATGACCCATTCACAAACCCATATTTGGCAGGTATCGACAGAGAGCACGGTGCAACCTGCCCGTCTTCTTCGGCGCTGCTGGTTTTACTGTCGTAGTATTGACGGCCGTTCCAGGAAACTGCCTCCAACTGCGGTGCGAGGAAGGTGTCCATGATCGTCCGCCTGCCTGAGCTTCACCCGCATCCACCTCCTCACTTGGCACACTACTATTCTCTTGTCCCTCCACTTTCTTTTCTCCGGGTCCTATGATCGTCTCCGCATGCCGCAAGGACCGTGTGTGTCCTTGTCTACCATCTTTGTCGCTTGTTGTCCTTCCTATTCCGGGACTGACAAGACGGTTGCTGGTCGTGGAGTTGGGTCGCCGGGGCGTAAACTGGGGGGCGGATGCCATTGTGCCTGCCCCCTTCGTGCCTCCATCATGTAGAGTCGTGAGTGGCCTGTGACTCTCAAATTAACACACAACACATATTGTCGTGTGCGGTCCTTTCGCGGCATATCACAGCCTGCGACCCACGTCGCGCCTCCCAGAGTCCCCCCTCACTTCATTCCTGCCCGCCAAAGCATATAGCCAAGCTTTTCGGCTGTCTTTCCGAGATTTTGTTTTTGGTCTGGGTTCCACCTGTTGTCATCTCACAACTCTTTTTTGTTCTGTTCAAGCCGCTCATCTTTCAAGAATCCTCACCCTCATTCCTCCAACTCACCAGACAGAACTTACCACCAGCGACCGACACAATGGCTGACAACAACACCACTCGGGATGTTGAGAACGTCGATGCGGACAACGATCATGACCACGGCCATGACCCCATCGACGAAAAGTCGGCAGCCGAAGCCGTCAGGGCCGCCGGTGGACTGCGTACTGTGGACGCCGGCCTTGGTGCCGACCAGGTCGTGCTCGCCTTCGACAAGGAGCGCGAGGCACGCATCCTCCGCAAGGTCGACTGGCACCTCGTGCCGCTGCTGTCCTTCCTCTACCTCATCGGCTATGTCGACCGCAGCAACATTGGCAACGCCAAGATCGCCGGCATGGCGGACGACCTCAAGCTGCAGGGTCTCATGTACAACACGGCGTTGACGCTCTTCTTTGTGCCGTACGGGCTGTTTGAGGTGCCGAGCAACATTGTCCTCAAGCTCATCCGGCCGTCGATTTGGATCTCGGTGTTGCTGTTCTGCTGGGGCCTCGTCATGACGCTCATGGGCATCGTCAAGAGCGCTCAGGGCCTCTATGCGGCCCGCTTCTTTTTGGGTTTTGCCGAGGCCGGCTTCTTCCCTGCGTCGACCTTCTTGCTGACCATCTGGTACAAGCGGTACGAGGTCCAGACCCGCATGGCCGTCTTCTATGCCGCCGCTTCGCTTGCCGGCGCCTTTAGCGGTCTGCTGGCCTTTGCCATCCAGCACATGAAGGGCATTGCCGGGCTGGACGGCTGGAACTGGATTTTCATCTTGGAGGGTCTCGTCCCCGTGATCATGTCCTTTGTCGTTTGGAAGATCCTGCCCGACAGCCCCGAAACGGCCAAATTCCTGACCAACGAGGAGAAGGAGTTCATCATCAACCGCCTGGCGCTCGAGACCGGTACCGGCCGCGGCCGCGTAACCAACGCCGACCCCATCCGCTGGCACCACGTCGTCGAAGGCTTTTCCGACTGGCGCATCTGGTGCGGCGTCATCTGCTTCTGGGCCTGCACCATTGGCACGTACGGCTTCTCCTCCACAGCTCCCACCATTATCCTCCAGTTGGGCTACGAGAGCGCCAACGCCCAGCTCATGACCGTGCCCATCTATGTCTTTGCTCTGGTGTTGGTCATCCTCTTCGCCTGGGCCAGCGACCGCGTGCAGCAGCGCACGCCCTTTATCATCGCCGGCTTCGCTCTCGCGAGTGTCGGCCTCATCGCCGAGCTTGCCATTCCCCACCCACGCATGACCGGCGTCTCGTACTTTTTCTTGTACCTCATCGCCGGCGGCTTGTTCTCGCCTTTCATGTGTGTCGTCTGCCTCATCGGCAACAACTTGGCGCCCAGCAGCAAGCGTGCCGTCGGCCTGGCCGTCTTGATTTCCGTCGGCAATCTCGGCGGCATCTGCGGCAGCAACATCTTTTTGTCCAAGCAGGCGCCTCGCTACCAGGCCGGCTACGGCACCTGCCTGGGCATCTGCTTGGCCGGCATCATCGCTGCGTATGTGTTGCGGGTCGCCTATGCCCGCGAGAACGCCCGCCGTGATGCCATCGTCGAGGGTCAAACGGAGGAGCAAATTAACGCACAGTACACCGAGCAGCAACTGTTGGATCTGGGCGACCAGAATGTGTACTTCCGGTACACTCTGTAGGTGGGAGATGTAACGAGACCTCGGGAAACGGTCTGGTTAGGTCAAGGAGGACGGAATTGATCCGGAATGGACGAAGAATCGGTCAAGAGAACGGTCGAAGGGAGCATCACAACAGGTTCGACACATTGGAGGAACGGCTAGTAATATGCTCAAGGGTGATCTGACGATGGGCCATGATGGCGAACATGTGAAAGGTCGGTCGTCAAAGGGGATGCATTGATAAGATAGTGCGGGAATACAAAGTCGTTCGGTTTATGTGGCTATTTATTACAGTCTCGAGGATCAGAAGATGCAAGTTTTGCCTTGGGGAATACAGGCCAATAATGCTACGAGAAAGTTCTGGAAAGAAGGTTTATTGCTCCTTCCAATTCCTGCACGCCCTCCTTCTTCACTTGGTAGTCTAGAAAATGAACGCATGACGAGGGAAGGAACGAATGAGGTTAAGTTTTGTCTCGGGACACCAATTCCCATGCAATTGTGCGAACAAACGATACCCGAGAGATGCCGGCAGAAACATAATTCGGACGTACGAAGTATGCCGTACATGTCAGACTAAAACCCGGCCTAGAGCTGTTGCGTTTGTATTCTCCAGGCCGAGGTTCAGGTCAGGCCGATGGCGGAGTCCACACTTGTCGTGGGGAAAGAGTGGAAAAACCGATGCACTGTTGGAGAAAACCCGGGGCAAGTGCGGATCAAGGCGCCTTCCCCTCTGCGACAATTCGGCATGCCGTAAACGGAAGGCTCGTAAAAAGAGGGCAAGGGCGACATGGATCCGACGAGGAAAATGGGAAAGAGCAATCGCTTTTCAAAAGGAGGTACCTTCCTGGCGGAATGCAAAATTCAAAATGTGTGAAAGCCTCCTTTCCAAGCAAAAACACAGTCTCTCCAACTGACGACGGCACGGATTCCCTCCCACTCTGTCTAGTCAACTGCCGACAACGACAGATCAAGACCAATCTGCCGTCCGTCGTCAACTGCGTGCCCCGCAACCTATGGCAAGAGTCCTCCCTGGGACGTCCTTCAGCTGTGGTGAAACCAACATCGCTGTCGTCCTTATCTCGCTTTCGTCGTCCAGATTTTGTCTCTAAAGAAACTCCTGGGGTCCTCTCACTGTCTCCCAGCATTCTCCTCGGCTCTCGAATCCCTTCTTTTTTTTTCGAATCTGATCTCACTCTAAAACGGTGACCGCAGGTCGAGCAGCCATGGCTGTTTCACAGATCCAGGCGTTGCCGCGAAAGCTCTGGGAGCACCCTGATCCTAAGAGTACGGAGATGTACAAGTTTCTGCAGAAGGTCAACAGCAAGCATGCGTTACATCTCAAGGTTCGTGCCGCGAATCCACCAATTTCTTCCACCATCGGCTGGCAGCGCTATGTCGAGTAACTAACATGCGTGCCAGACGTTTGCTGAGCTCCACAGGTTCTCTGTTGAGCGCCGCTCCGACTTCTGGTCCATGCTTTTTGACGACGCCAACTTGATCCATGAGGGCACCTACCGCCGCGTCGTCGACGAGACCCTGCCCATTGACGCCGTGCCGCGCTGGTTCGACGGCGTGCGCCTCAATTTTGCCGAGAACATGCTCTACACGCGCTCACGGGCACCCGGCGCCAGTCCCAGCGCCACCACGACCATTGGCAAGGAGGACGACCGCATCGCCGTCACCGAGGTGCGCGAGGGTGCCGCCCTGGAGCATACGAGCCATGTGACGTGGAGCGAGCTGCGCCGTCGGGCCGCTCAGCTGGCTGCTGCCATGGCGGCGCATGCCGGTGTGAAGCGCGGCGACCGTGTCGTTGTAGTTGGTGCCAACAGTGTCGAGACGTTGCTCGTGTGGCTGGCTACCTGCTGGCTCGGCGGCCTTTTCAGCAGCAGCTCGACGGACATGGGTGCCAGGGGCATACTGCAGCGCACTGTGCAGGTCAACCCCAAGCTGCTGTTTATGGACGATGTGGCCGTCTACAACGGCAAGACGACGGACCTGCGCCCCAAGATGAAGCAGGTAGTGAGCGGGCTGCGTGCCGAATGCAGCGCCTTTGCGGGTGCCGTTGCCATTCCGCGCTTCACAGATCCGCGGGACGTGACAGACCTGGATGCTACCCGCTGGGTTGATTTTGTGGGCGCGGCCGTGGACCTCCCGTCGCCGCCGTTTGCCCGTGTCGACTTTGCCGACCCATTCCTGATCTGCTTCTCGTCGGGCACCACCGGCACCCCCAAAGCCATTGTCCACTCAGTGGGCGGCCTCCTGATCAACTACTACAAAGAGGCCATCTTACATGAGGGGATGAGCCCAGACTCTGTCACGATGCAGTTTACCACGGTCGGCTGGATCATGTATATCGCAACGGTCGGTGTGCTCGTTTTTGGCTGCCGCACTGTGCTGTACGACGGCTCACCGTTCCAACCGGACCCAGCCGTCCTCGTCCGCCTCGCGGCGCGAGAGCGTGTCACGAAGCTCGGCCTTAGTCCCCGCTGGATGCTCGAGATGGTCCGCCACAATATTGCGCCCCGTGATATTGCCGACCTGTCTGCCCTCCGCGTCGTCACATGCACCGGCATGGTGCTCTCCCAGGAGCTGCAGAACTGGTTCTACGACACCGGCTTTGGGCCCAAGGTGCATCTAGCCAACATTTCGGGAGGTACTGACATTGCCGGCTGCTTCGGCATCTGCAACCCGCTAACGCCAGTGTATGTGGGAGGTGCCCAGGGCCAGAGTCTGGGTGTTGATGTGCGCCTGTTTGACACGACATCGGACGTCGAGAGCAAGGACTCCGCGTATTTCAAGGGTGTCCAAGTGCCCAGCGGCGAGCCCGGCGAACTCGTGGCGGTGAAAGCCTTCCCCAACATCCCCTGCTTCTTTTGGAACGACAAGGGCAGCGGCCGCGTCGAGATGGATGCCAAGGGCACCATGGTCCTGCGCACCGACCGTGCTGCTGCACCCGAGGGCTCGCGCTACCACGATGCCTATTTTGGCCGGTTCCGGCACGTCTGGGCCCATGGGGACTTCTGTTCGATCCACCCAGTCACTGGTGCTCTGGACTTTTTGGGCCGCGCCGACGGCGTGCTCAACCCGTCCGGCGTGCGATTCGGGTCGGCCGAGGTCTATGCCGTGCTCGAGCGCAACTTTTCCGACCGTGTGGCTGACTCGCTGTGCGTGGGCCAGCGACGGCCCGGCCGCGATGCCGATGAGTCGGTCCTTTTGTTCCTGCTGATGCGCCCTGGACAAATTTTGGACGCGAAACTGGAGACCGACGTCCGAGGCGCCATTGCACGCGACCTGTCGAAGCGTCATGTGCCCAGGTACATCTTCACGACGCCGGCCATCCCGACGACGATCAACATGAAAAAGGTCGAGCTGCCAGTCAAGCGCATTGTGTCGGGCGAGCGCATCACGCCGAGCGGTACGCTGGCAAACCCAGAAAGTCTCGACTACTTCTACCCTTTTGCCGAAATCGAGCAAGTCGTGGGCAAACAGTCCAAGGCGAAGCTGTAACGAGCTTGCGAACCGACGAGAGCAATCAATTTCCGCACCATATGCAGCCAATATAGTTTCATTTTTGGGTTTTAAAAATAAAGTAGATATTACGTGATGTCCTTGTTTCCGTCGTGACCGCAATGCAATGTTGATTATCCCATGTTTCCGTTAGACGCCGGGTGTCCACATGTTGTCCGTTTCTTGTTCGTCGTAAATGCTCTTCCTGTCCATGCATGTCCTGTCGTAATGCTACCAAGTGATGCAACAGTAGCTCCCGCTCAAACAAAAGTCGTTATGGCATTAAACGCAGTACCCACCCATGCATATGTGCGGCCCCATTATTCACCACCACCACCACCATCACCGTCGCCTGGATGTGCGCCAGATCCGCCTCCACCACCTGCACCCCTGGCAGCTGCCGCTTCATGCACCGCTCGCCGGGCCTCAGCAGCGGCCGAGCGCATCTGTCGCTGCAGTTGTGCTGACATATAGTGGTTGCGCGCCGCTCTCTGTTGCCGGTCTCGAACCGCCGCGTCGTTACCTTCGGAGGAGCCTGCTGCACCGTCAACACCCTCAGGATCGCCGCCCTCCATGATGCCCTCCATCAAGCCTGTGGAAGCGGATTCGTCACCACCACCTGCCGCGCCGAGGCTGTTCCCTTTGCCCTTGCTCTTTCGCTTTTGCTTCAACCGGGTGGCGCGTGCTGCCGCCGCGGGCCCACCGCCGACGGCATCGACCAGTTGCTGCCGTGCTGCCAGGCGCTTTTGGAGCAGGTCGTTCTCGAAGCTGGCCGCCGTGGCCGTGTCCATATCGTCGTCCACGGCTGCCTCGAAGCCGCCACCCAAGCCTTGGCCCATGTCTATATCATACCCGAGGCTGTTCTCCTGGTCGTCTGTGCTGCCAGGCATGCCGCCGGAACCGCCAGCACCAGCACCCGTGCCGAGACTGCCAGCCGAGCCGCTGTTACCGCCCGCAAGCTGCAGCACATTGTTACTGACTGACATCTCAAAGAGCGCCTTGTTAAGCAGATCGGTGGCAATGGGATCCTGCGGCCGAATGGCCAGCGCCTCGTGCAGCACGACAGCCGCCTCGTCTGGGCGGCCCCGCTCGAGCAGGATAAGGCCCTTGGCCGAAAAGACGGCCGAATTCTTGCCGCCCAGCCGCAGAACCTCGTCAAACTGGGCCAGAGCCTCGCGGAACAGCCGCATACGCCGGTAGGCATGACCGAGGTTGATGCGCGCACTAAGCCATGCCTGCGGGTCACAGTCCATGTCGTCGGCCACCTCGAGAGCCTTGCGGAACAGCGTGGCAGCGTCCTTGGCCCGGTCCTGGTGGTAGCACACAACACCCATCTCATTGAGCAGCAACGGGTCCTCGCGGCACAGACTGTAGGCCGTCTTCAAAAACTCCTCGGCCACGGTCATGTTGTTCATGGCGTGGTGCTGCATGCCCAAGAAGACTTGCGGCAGATGCGTGCCCGTGAAGAGACGAGCGGCTGTCGAGTAGGCAGAGATAGCCTGGTCGTGCTCGCCCTCGGCGGCAAAGGTGTGCGCGAAACCAATCCACGCCGGGCCATAGTGGGCGTCCATCATGCTGGCCTTGCTAAAGTAGCGGCGCGCCTCGGCGATGCGGTCCGTGGCAAAATAGTAGACGCCCACAGCCAACCATGTACAAGGCTCTTCGGGGTGCTGGTCGGCCAGGTCGTGGGCCACGAGGAACAGCACGTTCTTCATGCGCAGCTCGAAGAGACATGCCAGGTGCAGCGGGTAGGCGCCAAAGTTGTAACGGTCCTCCTCGAGCACGGCACTCGTGAGGGCCAGTGCGTCTTCGTAGCGGCACTGTGTGTAGGCTAGGTCGGCACGGGCCAGCAGCAGGTCCGCGTTGTTGCCCAGGCGGTAGTGTGAGGCGAGGGACTCGGCCGCAGCTGCGAACGTTTCCGGGTTCCGGTACTTGGACAGGCGTGTGCTGTACAGCATCCGGGTGAAGTCGGCCGCCTCTTGGACGGCGTCTTCGGCGGATGTGCTGCCGTTTTCGCTGGCGGCGAGAGGGCTCATGGCAATGCTGTCAAAGTTGAGCGACTCGAGGAACTCCCACTCCTCGTCCGGTGCCATCAGCTGGTTCTTGGTGAGCTGCTGAAAGGCCTCAAAGCACTGCACATCGATGCGCACGGCGTCTTTGTAGCACTCCTTGGCCCGGTCAAAGACGTTTTGCTTGGCGTAGCAGATGCCGCGTAGGTAACACATGCCCGCCTCGTAGCGCCGGTTAGATGCCTCGGCGGCAGCCACGGCTGCGGCGGCTGCTGCGGAGGCTGCTGCCGCCGCCGCAGCAGCAGCAGCGGCTTCTGCCTCGATGCTGGCCTCGCGTTCCCTCCGCCGGCTCTCCAACGACGACGCAGCCCCAGCCCGGTCTCCTCGGTCTGGGACACCACCAATGGACCGGCTGTTAGCATGGCCTTTTGCTGTTGTCGACGACTTGCCTCCTGCTCCAAACGCTGTTGATTTCTTGCCACCGTGGTTCCCTGGCGGGTTGGCTGGGCCGCTCCCTGCTCCTCGTTCGTTGCTTGGATTGATGTTGCTACTGCTGCCAGCAGGGTGTACCTTCTCGCCACCACCGTTGCCGCTGCCCGCAGCACCCGCTCCGCTTGGCGCTTTCCGCTTGTTCGCCGACGTCGGGATCAGGTGTGTCGGGTTTCGTTCGCCAAGGACAGCGAGCGCGTCGTCGAAGCGACTCTGCTTGATTAGGCAGTGGGCGGCGAGGTAGCGGCACGACGCGTTGCGGGCAATCAGGTCGGACTTAGACAACAGGGCCTGGGCACGGGTATAGTTGCCCATGGCAAAGTGAACCTGGGCGAGCCAAAAGGCATCTTCGTCGGCCCCCGTCAGGGCAAGGAGCTTGTCGCCGATAAAGATGGCCGAGTCGTACTGGGCTTTGTTGAGCGCGTCCTGGCGCCAGTCGCGCAGGAAAGGCTCCATGACGGGGGTGGGGGGGCGGGCGGTGGTCGTCGTCACGGTGGGAGGTGTCGAAAAATGTGTCAGAATATCAAAGGTATGTAGAAGGCGTCACGATGCGGCGAGAGCGACGTCGTGATGGGAGTTGGTCGTGAGGCCAAAATTAACGTGGCGATGGACGGTTTGTTGACTTTTGGCGGCAAGCTTACTGATTTTGGGCGATGACGGCAGGCTCTTGTCAATTGGCAACTGCGACGCGTCTCCACAGGCTCTGCAGTGCGCCTGCCGTTTGTGTTCGTTGGCATTTAGCGCCTTGAGATGCAGCTAACGGCGGCTGCACCAGCCACTACTCAGAGCATCGAGCCTTGCGCAAAGGAATGTTGTTTCATAAGACGAAGGAGCACTCTCGTCGCATTCACAAAATAAAATATTTATAAATTTAATTTTAAAAAAACCGTACCACACGTTTACAAAACAGAGTTGACAATGGTTTCAACGCAAAGAGTGCATAGACAATATAACTTGTAATTTTTTCCAAAGAATTGTAAAATATGCACCGACCCTGCCCGAGAAGAACAAATCTAGCCAACGAACAAGGAACACAAAAACGCCTTGCGCCGCGTGAACTATGCAGGTGACAACAATGAAGACAAAATAATGAAATCGGGAGACAAACGGAACGCTTTTTGATCGCCTATACCTTCACACCCACAGCACCGCCCTCGGCCCGGAAGGTAGCCAGCCGCCGCCGAATGTCATTGGCGGTCCGCTGGAAAGGATTGCGCCGGCGATCAAAGGCCATGGCGGCCAGGGTCGAGTCGCTGGGATCGGTCTCGCCGTAGTGGTCAACGAGGGTCTGGAGCCAGGCGCGCTCGGCCTGGCTCTGGTGGCGGACGTGCTTGGGGCCGACGGGCCGGTTGGCCAGGTGCTCGAGGGCGGCCACGACGGGCGTCGCAGGCTTCCCAGTCGCATCGCCCGTCTTGCCCTTCTTTCCCTTCTTCGGCGCATCTTCGATGCCGCCCCACTCCTCGTATGTCTTGGCGGCGGCCTCGGCAGCCTCGGCGGCGTCGGCTTCCTCGTCGTCCTCGAGGTCGTTCAGCAGGTCGTTCAGGGGGTTGTGGGCGGGTGCGGCGTCGCCGAGGACACGCACGATGCGGCCACTGGCGTCGCGCTCGACACGGACTTCGCGGATGGTGTTCGACGACGAAGTAACAGTGGAGGAGGAGGCATTGGCAGGCGCTTTGCGCTTGTCGCCCAGAATCTCATTGGCCGTCTTGTTAAAGGGGTCGATGTAGTGCTCGATGGGGGCGTCGGTTTTGGAGTTGACAGCGGCGCGCTCCTTGACGGCGTCGGTGCCCAGACGCTCGATACCACCAGTTGGGACCTTGAGGCGATTCATGAGGCCAAGCCGGCGGTAGTTTTGCGACAGAGTCTGTTCCTTGTCCCAGTTCTCAGCAATGATGGCGTTGCCCGTGGGGTTCACTGGGCGCCGGCGGTTGTTGGACTGCTTGACGACGGGCCGCGAGGACCGCGCCTTGCGTTTTTGGCGGACCGAACGACCCATTTTGTGTGCGGCGAGGTGGGCGTGGATCGAGATGGAAGGAGGACAGTCGCTAAACGAAGCAATGCGTGTGCGTGCCGAGTTGTTGATACGATAGATGTCTCGGTGGGAAGAGAAACGTATTTAAAAGAGCAAAATTGGCGGATCCCGAACCGAAGGCTGGTTCGCTCGCTCGTTCGCTCTCGCAATTTTTTTTGTTATCGCACTGCTTATCGACACGTGGGGTTATCGATGAAGAATTGGGCCCACTTTCGCTGTGTTAGTAGGACACAACGCTGGAGAGTGCAGTATGATGTAGTGTTGTAAATTAGGTTCAGGCTATGCTGTCGTCGCTCAATATGCACTAAATTTGGCTGCACAGAGTACATTGTACGAAGTATGCTATCTCGTCCTATTCGTATGCCGTCCGTCCGAGTGACTTGTACCCAGTCCTCCTAGACTTTGAATTTTCGCGGATCGAATTTGGACACGTCGGCACTTGTGGCCTTGCCGTCCAGCAACATCTCGGCCATCAGGCACCCCGTCGCTGGGCCGTTCTGGATTCCCCAGCACGTGTGGCCCGCGGCCACCCAGAGGCCGGGCGTATGCGTGGGGCCGATCAGCGGCGCCCGCTCGTCGCCGAAGCGGATGTGGCGGGGGAGGTAGCACGCTTGGGTGGTCTTGACGGGCGCCACAGCCAGTGCCGGGCTAATCGTGCTGACGTAGGCGACGAGATCGGCGCACTGCCCGTCGTCGATCTGGACCAGGTCGGCGGTGGCGGGGAGCGGCACGCTCGAGTCGGGCTCGCCGCAGGCATAGACTTCGCCAAAGGGGCGCGCATAGATTTCCGGGTCGACACGGCCCCGGTGGCGGCGGCGCTTCTGGCCGGCCTGCAGGCGGTACTCGGGTGTGTAGGTCGAGGGCAGGCCGACGTCGGTGAAGACGGCGTAGGCAGAGACGTCGGCCTCCCACACGACGCTATGGGCGCGCAGGCCCTCGATTTTCGTTCGTGGCAGGACAACGCCGGTCCAGGGCCCTGCGGCGACGACAACATCTGTGATGTCGTCAAGGGTCTGCGTTGTGTGGGAGGCGTCGGTGCGATCACGGTACTCGACAGTGTGCTTTGCGGTCGCTCCATCGTCGCCTGTGGACGCAATCTTGGTCACGTGTGCATTGAGGCGGATGGCAACGCCGCGCTCGGCGGCCAGCGCGGCCATAGATGTGGTAAAGTGGAAGGGATGGACCTGGGCGGTGTCGTAGGCGCCAGGCACGCCCATCTGATCATAGGACTGGACAACGGCCGGATCGATCCAGTCGAGGTCGGGTGGGAGCACCGCAGGGGACAGGAGACGGGCCGCGTGCTCGTCTTGCTTCGGCAGCTTCTCCCAGTCCTTTTGCGCTTCAGGCTGTGCTTCAGGCTGTGCTTCAGGCTGTGCCTCGGTACTCGTCTTTGGCCCGTCTGTCAATTTCACGCCGGCGGCCGCGTCTTTCGTATCAGCATCGATGTTCTGTCCATTGGTCTCTTTGGCCGCCGCGGTTTCCGCTGTTCGCCGGTCCAAGTCGTCTTGGCTCACCTCCGCCTGAACGTGACCGCATCCAACCCGCCGGTAGCCCCAGCGCTGGGCGCCGCCATGCTCGTCGGCCAGCTCGCCGTGCAGGCGATAGGAGAGCGGGACAAGCTCTTCGGGGTAGGCCCAGAGGCCCAGCAGCCCGCCGGCCTTGCCCGAGGCACCAGCAGCAATGGTGGGCGTGGCCTCCAGCAAGGTGATTTGGTGCAGGCCGCGGTCGTAGCGAGGGTGTCGCGTCAGAAAGTAGGCTGTCGTGGAACCAATGACGCCGCCGCCCACAATGACAATGTGTCGTCGCCGATCTCGTGGCGGCTGTGGCAGGTGTGGCGTGCCATCTGCAGGGGTGTCGCCTGCGGTTGGGGCGACCATGTCGTCCGATTGACGGTCGAGTCGTCTGGACCAACGACGTCCTGCAGTCGAGTCCTACTCGTAGGTCTGATTGTTCATTCGGTTCTGGACGCCTTGGGTCGTCTGGTGTTTGCTGGTCTCAGCACGTTGCGTTGTACAGAGATCGTCGTCGTGCAATTGGCGTAGTTGGGTCGATGACGAAATGGGAGGGCAGACGTCAGCAAGTGTGGGAGTGGGTTTGAGGCGCGCAAGTGCTGTAGGCGTGCAGACGGGCGGGGATGTGCACCCGGAGCCTCGTCTGAGCTTACGAAGCATGACACGGCTACAGTAGGCGCGAGGGATGGAAGGCACCTATCGATCGCGGAACAGGAAGGCGCAAACCATGTCGAACAGTAGGCTTTGATTTGGCATGAGTCTGATGGCTAACCCGTGACAATGCACAGCACAATATTGATTTCACATGGCTTGCAGGGCCGCAGTGAGCTAGACGCTCCCGACAAGATGGTCACCTCTAGGGTAGGCCCTTCAGGTCGGCCTGTATCAAGCGATGTTGCACGCAGGTGCCGGAGTTTGCCGTTTGAACTTGACAGGGCATACGACAAATCATAGAACTGATCCAAAAATAAAAATAATAATAAAATAATAAAATAAAGTAACTATAAATTTTTTAAAAATAAATAACTAAATAAAAAGATAAAAAAACGGTAACATTCCTCGGCTTGATTCCAATGCGACATCGCCGGCCACAACGGCCGACGGAGCAATTCAGCGATCCGTTAAGCGAGCAAGCTAGACATGCCGCGGCTCGTCCAGCCACGCAACCCGATTCCAAACATCAAAATGTGGAACCACTGGAGCTCTAGCGATGCTAGACAGCCTTGGACCGGGCCAATTGCTGTTCCATACATGAGAAACTACCCTGAATCACGTCACTGACGGACGGACCTGTCACGTCCCGACAGCGTCAGGTGAGGGGCAACTCCGTGCTACTCAGTGTGATGTTGTGTCGCCGCATTGCGTGTTGATAGTGTCGTCGTCGACTGAGTCGCAACATTTTGATGAGTCGGTCGCTCCTGCCGAACATGTCATAGAACAGCGCCGCTTTCAGCGCTTGAGTATGGAAATGCACAACGCTTGCAAGGCGGATCTCTCCGCACACTCACGCTCCATCGCCACTTCCCAAACTCGGCAGAGAGGCGATGAAACACGTTGTGCCTCGCAACATCTGGAAGGAGCGACCGGGACAAAACGTAGGAGATTGCAGCCAGATAGCAGGACGGTCTCCCGGCCAAACAGGACACAGGACGCCCACAATTGCTTGTCGTTTGGTATTCCTCAGCGATTTGGAAGAGAACAAGGCGCCCTCCGCGGAGCGTTGTGCCTCCCCTCTTCCGTCGTCAACTTGGTGGCATGTGCACCGCCCAACCGGGCTAGCTGGGAATAGTAGGATGCGAGGAAGGCGGGCTAGTTGTTGGGTCCGCGATTGCCACGTCCTGGCACGTAATTGTCCTGTACTTGGATGCGCAAAATAGGCAGTGGCGAAAGACACTGAAGGAGGGAGAGAAGACGACGAAGAGGAGAAAAAGGGAAAGAGCTGCCGGCGTCGCAACTCCACAGGGTCCGTCGCCAAGATTGCTAAACATCGGAAGCGGGCCACAGGGGCAGGCGGCGAAAAAGGAAAAAGGGACAAGTGTAAAAGAAAGGCGCTGCCCGCCATCACGTCACAACCGTTTGCTTGACTTCTCTTGCGACAAACCAAACCTACTCACTTGCACACCCGTCTGCTACCTACCAACTCTCCATCTCCATATCTCTCGGCAACATTTTCATCGCCTCTGAGCAACCATAGAAACGCCACAATGGCCGGCAAGACGTTTTACGATTTCAAGCCTCTCGACAGTAAGTACACTTGTTTTGTTATTTGTCGTAGACCTCGCTTCGCTTTGGTCCTCGCTTCGCGCGATGCTGACACGCATACCCAGAGACCGGCAAGGAGCTTGACCTGCACAAATTCGAGGGCAAGGTCGTCCTGATTGTCAACACGGCGTCCAAGTGTGGCTTCACGCCGCAGTTCGCCGGCCTCGAGAAGCTCTACAAGAGCCTGCGCGCCAGCTACGGCGACGACGTTGAGTTCCTCGGGTTTCCCTGCAACCAGTTCGGCGCGCAAGAGCCGGGCTCCAACGACGACATCCAGAGCTTCTGCCAGATCAACTACGGCGTCTCGTTCCCGATCCTGTCCAAGATTGACGTCAACGGCGACAACGCGGCGCCGCTGTACAACTGGCTCAAGGACTCCAAGTCGGGCCTCCTGGGCCTCAAGCGCATCAAGTGGAACTTTGAAAAGTTCCTGGTCGGCCGCGACGGCGCCGTCATTGAGCGCTGGGCCAGCACCACCAAGCCCGAGGCGCTGGAGAAGCCGATTGTCGATGCCCTGGGCGGCAAGCCCACGGCCGCCCCCACGAAGACGGAGGAGCCCGCGGCTGCCCCGGCCGCCACGGCAACGGCATGACTCTCCGGTGACGACAAGGGAAAGCTGTGAGACGGGCGGCGGGGCGCGGGATGCATTAATATGGGCGAGGTTGAACGTTCCCCCTGGGGCCTAAAGAATGATACCAACCTTGGAATAATATTATCTGGCATTTCTTCTTGGATTGTTTGCCTTGCTTTCTCCACGGGGCGGCAGCCGTATGGAGAGCAATTGCGTCCGTGTTCTTCAACCGTGTTCTTCAACTGTGTTCTTTGGCTCGTAGTACGCTTCTTGGATACTATACCGAATTTTTGTTTGTTGCAGGATAGAGAAATGAACTAACATTGTTCACTTCCTTTCAACGTCGTCTCACCATTTCAACGGATCTAGGTCAGCCTTGCCTACGTCGGAGCCGGAGTTCAGCCATCTCGCTCCGGTGCGGTGGACCAGGATTTACGAGGGCCGATCCGCTGGGTCATCCCACCGGTTGCATCCGCCTTGAGCTAAAGAAAGTCAGCAATTTTTGGGTAGAGTTTTTGTAGGTGGCACTCTCAGGTGGTAAGACAGGAATAGGCTCAGGTTATCCTGACAACTCTGTCCCTTACAATTCCCTTCAGCCGTGATACTTGTCTGCTGTGGCCCTTAACGCTCAATTTATCATGTGATTCAGCGCTTGGTTAGTTGATGTGAAGCAGTGGATTTTGTACACTGTTTTACACAGTACGTACGCGCGAAACCCTTCCCTTGTCTTCTTACATGAACAAATTTCTTCTTAAAAATGGAACTGCTATCTGGTTCTTGGAGGGCTGTGCTAATATTGTGTTAAGCGGAAGATATCCCAGTATGCGAACGTTAATTAAAATTGACAGTTCTTATATATTTTTCAGCACACGTTTATTTATTTAATTTTTTTTTATAAACAGGTTTCTATTTTTAACAAGACCACACCTCTCATCATAACTTGCGTGCCTTTACAGGTCATGTCTCAACCTGACCCTCGCCATGAAGGTGTTTGTTTAAGTGGATTGTTTCCTGTCGTGTCGTCGTGATAGAAAAATTGATTTTGAGATTCTGCATCATGTTCACCTCTTCGACTGATTCTAATTTTGGAAGCCACCGTCGGTCTGCGGCACTGCTCTGGGGGTGTGCGAGATAAAGAGACCCTACGTATCCCGTTCTGTTACAAGGCCGTGTTTTATTTTTATCGCTGATCCTGCCGAGTAACGACTGGCCGAGACCACAGTCACCTTTCACGGGTAGTAATATCAATACGATTATGTAAATACGACTAGGATGATGTTTTTGGACAGTTTGTGGGGAACATGCGAAACCAAGTCGTCCCAATCAAAATACAGTGCAAAATAGAAGCACCTCACGGGATGGCCATTGTCCATTCGGCACGGGACGGGAGCAGTCTGACGAGGTAGAATGCAGAGTGCAGAGTGCAGCATGGCGGTCACGGGATTTGCAGCAGAGCCGTCGACTGTCCAATGCCAACCAGGCTCGGCTGGTTATCCGAGACGTAGAGGTGTGGGTGCAAGTTGGATGTTGGATGGTGTGAGTTGAATATAATAAACAAATAAAATAAAAAATAAATACATTTTTTTTTTTAAAAAAAAAGACACTGAGCAACACAGTACAACACAAACAGCCATCCTGGTATTTCCCGACACAGCCTTGGTTCATTTCTACATCGTATATTCTTTTCAGCACAAATGAAGTTCCCTCCTCTACCAGGTTTCGCTGTTGGTCCTATGTCCACGCCCCTCCACAAAACAAGAATATAGCCTCCAACGTTGACAGAAATTGGCCGAGACCAGCAGCACAGCCTAGGGTCATAGAGCGCTGTCCACGTATACACACCATCAGCGTTGCGGGAGAAATAGATTAAAATGACGACAGGACGGTTGTCTGGCAGAAACAGAAAAGGAAGCGGACAGAAACCGCTCAGCCAGGAGTGTGGGGTTTAATATAGCCGGAGAAGACAAGGAGAAGGACGACGAAGAGGCATGTGACGCTGTGACGCTGTCAACGTTGGTCACGTTGGTCCTGTTCGCCGTACGTCGTCATTCTCTCTCTCCCTCGCTTCTTTCCCTCTTATCTTGTTTAGATTGACCGCCTCTCGCGGTTTCTCTTCTCTCTATCCATGGCACCTTATTCGCTTGTTGCTGCCAGCTGCCAACGTCCCATGGCCCCTGTTGGCTGTCTCATCTGTTGTGCACTTGTGTGTGGTGCAAGTCTGTTGGTCACAGCAGGTCTGTTTGGCAGATGATGTCGTTCGTCCGTATGTGATCATAATACTGTCGTATTGCATGAGTTTCTTTTCTTTCCTTCTTTCCTTCTTACCTCTTCTTGCTCAACTCCATGCACTTGACCCAATATCCCGCTCCCTACTTGGGGGTCGGTGCGCCTCTCGTGATGTGCAAGGACTTTACAGCGTCGCCAACTCGCCGACGATATTGCCTCACGAGCCTTGATCCTTGCATCTCGTGTATGCCTTGCACAATCCAACAAAAGAAAGCGCAAATCAACAGGGTCTTTTGTGAAATCATCTTGCATCGTCCTCCTGCTGGTTTCTTTCTCGTGTCTCTTTGCCGACGCGGCCGCCGGATCAGCAATATAACAGCCCATGCAGCCGAAATGATATCATTGTGCGTTGGTCGAGCACGCACCCCCAACGACCGCAATCTAGGCGATAAGGGAAGAGGAACAAAGCCACTCTTTGTACAACATGTTGTTCTTCTCTTTCCCCGTGCAAGACTGTGGGTTGTCATCGTGATGTTTGCCACATGCATCTCATTTCCCATGCTGTCCGGATCTTGTGCCGAGTTGCTCGTGTCAGGATGCCACTTGGTCCGTCATTGTCCAACACTTGTCCGCTATGACGAGTGAAGCTGGCGTCATTGTCCTGCGTTTGTTTCTGTTTTCGTCTTCAGCCCAGCGCTTGCCGGGCAATGTTGACAGGCCGCGTAGCCTGGAAGCATCACCGACTTTGTCACCAACGATGTGGCCAGCTGCAGATGGTCGTTCTGTGCCCGTTCCACAATATGTCCAAATCCCTTTTCTCGTCAACCCTTTCGACGATATCCATAAGGCTCCAGGTGCTGGGACAGCAGATGGGGCGAATGCCAGGCTAAGCGAGAGGCACAAGACGGCCTAAGAATCAAAGAATATATTGCCATTCTTTTCTTTTCTTTTTTTTTGTTTTCCTTTCTCGCGCCCTGTCCATCTCCATCACTGCCCGTCCCTGACCTCTCGCACGGGACGAGTGTACACGGCCCAGCCTCGAAGGCTCCTAGAAATCCTCCTGCAATCCTGTCCACTAGGCTGATGCAGAATAGATTAAATACGCGAGGGCGTGATATCGGGCGTGAGAACGGGCATGATGGCGGGAGTGGTGTCGGGCAATATGCCATCAAGGGATGCCGAGTTGTAACCAGGAAATTCGTCCAGGGCGTCATGGCGTCAGGGAGTTGCGGTGGCAACGCGTCAAGGCGGCGCTGGGAAAGGAAACGTCCGGTTTGGTACGAATAAAGTGCAGGAGTCAGCAATATACGATTTCCAGAGAAAGCATGGAGACAGGACGACTGACGGTTGGACGACAACACGGGATGGGCAGGACGTGACCGGTCTGTTGCGTCGCGTCGCACTGCCTCGTTGTCCTTTGTCTTGTCTTTTGTCTTTGTCTTTCCAACTCTCGTCTTCAGTCTTCCGTCTTCCATCGTTTGTATCTCTGGCTTGAGTGCAGTTGGCTTCATTTATTTTTCTCCCGAAATGCGAAATGCGAAATGCAACCGCCGATGCTCGGCGGAGGCCCTTGCGCCCCATTCTCTCTGTCCTAAATCTCCTCGTCCCGATGCCCTCTGACCAGGACCGTGGGACTCTGCTGACCGATGGCGAAGCCGCTGTAAACAAAGTACGAGGCGACGCGTGACGGGAGACGGCAATCTATTTCTCGCCACAGTTCCTGCCGCTGTCTGGTCACCTCCCGCTTTTCGTTTCGTTCCGGCGAGACCCTTTTTCTGTTTTTCTGTCTGGGGTAAACGAGCCGGGCCATGGGCTGAAGAGGGTCGAGCAGGACCTTGCACATTGTCGGAGATTGTCTGGTCAGGATGAAGGCGTTTATCGTTCGAGGCTCTGGTTTCTTTTGATTATCGTCAGCGGAGCAAAAAACAGAAGCTGTGTTCGCAACAAAACAGAGACGGCTGTGCCGCAGATTAAATACCCTTGACCTACGTCTACTCTTTTCGCTCGTCATCGTCATCGTCCTGTTCTTTCTCTCGCCGCCCCCTTTCTTGATCGCTCGTCTACGCACGACATCGGGGAGCATGAGACACTGCAGCTGGGGTAGTATTGTCCCATGGTATCATGGCCACACTGCTGTCCTCCTTGATAAGGTGCCGAGTTCCAGGACGATGAAAGACGCATGCCACGGTCTTCCCATGAGGGTAGACGAAGAGAAAATCAACAAAAAATAAAGGAATCAATATCAAAATCCCCCCCACGACGAAGAGAGGCGGTCGTGACCTCATCCACCTGTCAAAAGCCCTCAAGCCCTCAACCGCACATCGACAACCATGGCTCGACAGAAAAAAGGAAGCATCAAGCAATCAAATCCGGGGCACGACGCATCACCACATACTCGTCGTATGACATTCACAGGGACCAAAGAGGAAGCCACAGAGGGAGGACCCATCCTTTTTGGGTGTTCCATACCCACCTTGAGCTTCTGCCTTTTGCCTTTTGCCTTCTGCCTTCTGCCTTCTGCCTTCTGCCCCTCTGAACGTCTGCCAGTCCAATGGTTGCCTTGCCGTCCCATCCTGATCTTGTGCAGCCCCGGAGCAGCAGCTAGGCACATGTGATGAGACTGTGCGCCGTTGTGCATGCATACGACGTGCAGATGTGCGCTGCAGCAGCAATCAAGATACCGACGGAACTGGACCAGGCTGGGGCACTGGGCCTCTCAGCCTTTTTTTGCAGTGTGGACGTTGACCGTTGGATGGATCCCGCAAAACCCTGGGCGGCACTTTCCCCGGCACTCTTCCGTAACTGTCGACCCTCTTTGGCCACGGCGGGATGTGGACTCGAAGCGGAGCCTGGCTGGCTGCCTGTGTTCGGAGTACCCTGTGTCTGAGGTTGTCACGATGCCCGTGGCATCCTCGGTCGTCCTTTGATTCTTGTTACATTACTTGCTTAGTTTTCGATCGTCATAACCCTTGTTATCGCAGCCAAGAGTTTCGGTATCCTCGTTTGCTCCTCGTGCTTTACCGAGGGTACTGACCGGTCAAGAGGAAATTTTCTCGAGCACGCTTCGTCGGTCGAGCCACGACAACGTCTACATCTTATTTACCCCTTTGTATATCCTCCTGCCTTGTGGGGTGCTGCCAAACCAAGTGCGAGTGCGCCATGACCGCGGACGAGAAAATGCGCGGACTGAGACTGCTTTGGTGTTTTGGATCTAGACCAGCAAAGGCAACTGGCAACTGGCAAAGTGGATGAAGAGTGGAGGAGTGTCGGTGGGCAGGCGTGGAATATATACAAAAGTACAAAGTACGTTTGTGAATGAAAACGTTTAATCTATTTGGGGGTGGGCGTGCAGCTGCAGACGAGGGCGTGTAATGTCTCATGCAGACCGTCGAACCATCGTACGTTTTGCGAGCTTCAAAGTACTTTGTACGGAGTAGTCCTCTGTATTTTGGGCTTTATCTCGTGTCTTCCCCGCAAAGATACCTCTCTGTTTCGTCGACCCAGGCGATGCATTCACGCGAAATAGATAAACAAGGTCCATAAGTGAAAGGAGCGCGTAATGGAAACGAGATATGCAAAGAGGGTGACGAGATGATCTCCACCCTGGATGGCTCTCGTGCATCACTCACGAGCATCACTCACGAGCATCACTCACGAGCATCACTCATTGGCCTCAACGGTGTCGGCATCGAGCCTTGTATTGCGTCTGTTTGTTGACGACGAGGTTCTGGGGCGACAAAAGGGGCATGCCATGCAACACGCCGCCTTTCACACGGCCCATCAATATCAAAATCAAATCAAATAGGCATCAGCCAACAGGACACAGGATCAAATGAACCAAGAGCAGCCTTCTCGCGTTGCCCTGACCAAACTTTATTTTACTGTTTATCAACCGTCTCGTCCTGGGCCGTTGATTTGGTAGCCCTGTCTGTGGGAAGGCTGAGCAGCATCCCGCAACATCCCGCAGCACTGTAATTGCCAGGTTCTGGACCAACGGCGGGATCAGAGCACTGCGAGGGAGGATCCGTGAGGAGGCAATTCGGAGTACAGCCGCCACAGGGCAAACACAATCCGCAATCATACGCTGCATCTCACGCCCATCCCCGCGTCTGAAACACGTCTTTGTGTACAAAGTACATCTCCTCTGGCATGTGAGCATGTGCACCGACTATCGACAAGGCAAAAGACTGGGCAGAATGAGAGCAGAGGCCACACGACTCTGAGGTACTCCGAAGAATGTACCCATAGTGGACATCTTGGAGGTCATTAGAGAGGGCACGGAGGCAAAAGGTCAGGGCGTGCATCCTCCTCTACGGTGTACTTACACTCCCGTAGACGGCAGAGAGCGACTGTGTAGAGCACGACGATTGGGATTGCGCATTGTATTATTTTATTTGGCGTTGTATAGTTTGTCTTGTTTGTCTAGTCTTGCCTCGCCTTTTCCTGTTTCCTTATTTCAGTTATCAAATTTGCCCCGTTTCAACCCCCGGTTGTTCCCTTACCGTCTCCTGCCGTCCGCTGGCCGTCCACCATTCGAATGGTTGTCTGGTGTCTGTCTCTTTTTTTTTCTCTTTTTTTTTCCCCCGTAAATCACACAAGCACAGTTTAATACGTAGACATACAGTCTCTCTTCAGCGATGGCCTGCTCTTCAGGAGGCAGGCCATCGCACCGGTGCAATCGCTCCTCCGGCGTCCGATGCTAGGAACATTTATATCCTTTACTCGCGAAAACCGTACGGTTCGAGGCATTTGTTTTCATATGTAGTTTCGAGCTGTTGTGTCCTCCAGCAGACGCGCTCCGCTTCACGTTTTCGTTTCTTTACGACGCATTACAGCGCACTGACAATCCATTTTCCCACGGTCGCATTGACCAAGAAGAGAACCACAGGTGGCAAAAGCCAGACAGCAGCACAAAATTACGAGAAACAAAGGAATTACGTCGTAGTCACAGAGTTCGTTGTACTAAAGTACGGCCTGTAAAACAGCTGGGAAGCACTTGCTACGAAAGACAGGCAGGAGAAAGACGAGGTCGAGACTGCCCATTTCATTGGCGGGCTTTGTGTTTGCAAGGAGAATCCTCATAAGGGGGGGGATTCGTGTCTAAGAGCAAAGACTGATGCTTCCGCTGGAGGGTTGTTCGGATTGACCAAAACGGGCGTCCGGCCGAGCCAGTTTGTCAGTGCACTGCAGAGACCGGCAGGGGTTGAATTAGTGGCTGCCGAGCTCAAAGAGGCCACTGACGCACACCAAAACCAAACAAACAATGACACTAAAATAAACCATAAATTAAATCAAAATTTAAATACAAAATTGCTCTCTCTCCACCAAAAAGGGAATTGTGGAGATCATTGTAACGTTTCATGCGACGATAAAATCAAGTACTTTTTTTATTTTGTGCGCGCGCACCACGGAAGACGAACACCCTACACAGTCTGGTCCGATCTTTATCGTCTTTATCTCTGCGCCGTCAGCACCCAACACTCCCACCTCCGTTGTCAAGGCAAAAGTGAAGGACAATGGATACATGGTAAGACCATACAAACTATATCGTATTTCGTATGTTGCACAATGCGTCAGACGTCGTAGACAGATGCGGGCGACTGTTATCATCTTATCTTTGCGTTTGAATTCTATGGAACGGCCAAAGTCAGGCGCATTACCGGGCAGCAAAGCCCGAAAACGATGGCCGCCCAAGGACAACAGACAAACTTGCCAGGAACGACACTGCACCATCAATACGTAACAGAAAAAGGAGATTCTAGCGTACGGAGTACTTTCTGTCACGGGCAGCTTGGCTGGTTGCTTCCTCGTCCCAGACTTGGCCAGGTTGGGCCCGTTGGGGGCTGCTTGGGGTTGCTTTTGGCGTCACAGTGGCGTTGAACCGTTGCGACCGCCGGGGGAAGACTAAAATTGGTACGGACAATTTGGTAGGAAGCAGGAAGCAGGAAGGGAAGCAGGGAGGCTCGGACGCGCCAGAAAAGGCCCGAAACAAAGACGGGAGTCGGTGAGGGGAAACCAAAGAGGAGGTGAAGACGAGAAGAGATGGGAGACAAGGGGACGGCAAGATAAAGATACAAATGGCGGGACGATAACAACACCAAATCTCGTATCCGGAGGACATTGAGTGCCATGGGACAGCCTTCCACGTCACACACGCCTATTGCCGTTTATCCCTTTGCTGTTATCGCTTTCTCATGACCCGCAAACTGCAATGTGTCAAGAATGTGGACAAAATACATCTGGAGAACAGTACTTGAGTATCATTTGGGGCTGCTCATTTCGCCGTGCCTTTTGTCCTCGGATAGTCGAATCGCTGCCAATCACAACGCCGCTCGTCACGTTCAGAGCCGGGATTGTCACAAGCCACAAGATCAAGCGAAATGGGCCTAGAAGCCATGGAATACGAGAAAGAAAAGACCCAAAGAGGAGAAACTCAAGAAAAATGCAAAGTACGCACACATGAACGACCCCGACAATGTAAAGACAAAGCAAGAGACGAATGATCACTCCTGACTGGCCTTGGTTTCGGTGCAAAACCACCGAACAAAAGGATGGACAAGTGTAAATAATAAAAGGCCCTCTCCAAGAAAGAAGGGTACAAGCAGGTACAGCGAGGTTTAGCGGCGCTGGTAGCCCGACATTCCCCTGGTCGTGTCCTCCGAACTTGCAAGCGGGCAGCTCCTGTATTGGCGCAATCAGAAGGCGGCAACTTTTGGTCCTCCCTTCTGTGCCAAGGACGGAGAAAAAGAACAAGAGGAAGATCATCTGTCTGTTAAACGGCTGAGCCAAGACACGAAACGAGCAACGGCGAATGTTGGAATGCAGACTGAGGAGTGCTCCGTGTACTTTATGCTTTCGAGGTCGATATTCCATCGTGTTTCGTACTGCAAGGTCTATGGAGTATATATTTCGTAATTAGCCCGCCGGTTCGTTTTGTTCGGAGAATGTTTTTCGGAAGAGCCTTGTGGCCGGTGTCGTCGATCGCTTGCGCTTATTTCTGCATCTGCATTTGCATTTGCTTTTGCTTCTGCATTGCTTTTGCTTTTGCTGCTTTCTGGTGTCGTGCTCTGTTGTCGAGCTTGTCTCCCTCGTTTTTGTGGGTCTTCTCTCTTCGCCGTCGCAGCCAAACTTCCTCAACGTCGCCTTGGACGGCACTGACGGGAGAGGGGGAGAGAGGGGAGAAACGGATGAACAGACAGACAGTCGACGTCCCTCCCTCCCCTCTTCGCGTCTCCTCTTGAGCCACTGTCGTCCGTCTTTGCCCCGAGCGCTCCTGCCGACAGGAAAAAGGGACGAAAATGCAGCGCCGTGCATTTGTCTCGATGACAAGGTGGTTGGGTATTTTGTTTTCCAGTCCTGTAGCGTTGGGTTGGGTGTACGACACATTCTCCCTCCCTCCATTTGAGATTAACCATGCATGCTTACCCGCACGCCGCAAGCGCTTTACACCCAGAGTCAGGGGGGGAAGATGGATGGCAGATGGCGGATGACGGAACGGTTGATGCCATCACATTGCGTCGTCGGATTTGCCCCTGTTTTTGAGCGATTCTTTCTGTTTCTTTTCTGGTGCGACTCGTATTCCTCTGTCAAACGCATTCATCATGCCGGTGGCTCTCAATTAAATTGGCAGCCTAAGTCGCATCCATCACCGACTTGAGTTCGCTCTGCGTGGAATGAACTCTAGACAAAGTGCGATTCTCCGTGGGACAAACCAAGAGCGTCGGGAACCCCCCCTTACCCCCCCACTCATGCATATCCTGCGTCAACCGACTAGGGCTGGCCTGGCCGCGCCTGGTTTGGCCTAAGTGAGTGCTGTCCGATTGCGAGTGTGCCCTCCCCATTTCGTGCGAAAGTAAACAAACGGTATTTCGGAGACGTCGCAAGTCTGGAAGGTTTGACGGCTGCTGGCTGCTGGCCGGCCCTGTCCTTTATCACCAGATGCTCCAGTCGATGCCTTTTCTGAACCCCCCTCGATACACCCCTCCCCCTGCCTCCCTTGTCAAATCCAAGCCAACCAATGCGACCGAAGGGGAGACCACCTTTAGTCTGTGACCACCCACCTCCCACTGAATTCAAGAAGAAAAACAAGGACAGCACGCAAACAGCAGGCAAAAGCGGTGCTGTCGTCCCCTCGGAGGCCTTTGACTCTCATTGTGGTGACGTCCTCGAGATTCCAGAAAACTGCTGTGTGTGGAAGTCGAACCAGCCAACGCCTGATTCTGAGTTGTTGCCTCCCGCGCCCCTTCTTGAAATTGTGATAACTTGAACCATCCGTCATCCGTCATCAGATCGTCCTGTCAACAACGCCAGAGGCGACACGGTAAGTGAGACGCCAAAAGTCTAATTCATAAACTTCAGAGGCGGCGAGCGGCCGGACCGCCGGAACCGAAATCGTTAGACTGTGCACGCCATACATTTCTAATCCTATGCGGAGCAGTGCAGTTCCAAAACATCCGGTGAAGCCAGCCGGGCAGGCTGCAAAAGGACGATGCTTTCGCGATATTTTCCAGTTCTCACCGTCTCGAGTGTATGCTGCGGGTGAGTTTCTTAAGTCGCGCGGAGACACGCAAGAAGACAAGAAAGGTTCGACAGACTAGGACGAGACAAAACGACAAAGAGATATGCGGGTCAAGCAGCGACCACTAAGGAGGAATGGCGGGAGGGAAAAGCTTCCATGCAGACTTCTTCGGGCCTTCTAGCGCTCTAGTCGAGGGTGTGGGAAGAAAAAATCGAAGGGATTGGCTGGAAAGATGGGCAGTCCCTGCACCAGTGGCGGCGGCGAAGGCGGCGGTGACGGATTTTTCTGGTTTTTTTTTCCTGTTAGCTGCCATGTCCACCCATGTACAGACACCACCTTAGGTGCAGTTGTAGTGCTGCATGATCTAGCGCTGAGAGGGGAGAACATGAACAAAAGGAGACAAAATGACCGTCGGCCAGTAGAAATCCCCAGATGAAATCCCGATCTCAAATGATTGTTGTTTGGAATTGCAGGCGCAAGATGAACAGACCAAAAGATATGATGCTGGGCTTCCTACCAGCTGATTGAGCGGCGCTGGGCGAGAGTTTTCCCTCTCTCTTTCCCCCTCTCTCTCTCGCCTCTTCTTTTCGGGAAGTCCCTCTCCCTGTGTAAGCGATTGCAGCATTTTCGTTGGGCCTTGGGTCTAAGACTATGGTCGCGAGGCTAAGTGAATTTGGGCAGCATCCGGAGCCGAAGCTGATTTTTTGGGCCGCCTCCGTCGCAAGAGCGCTGCGACTGTTACGAACTGCCAACGAAGCACTCGTCTTGTGTCCGGTCGAGGGTGTTTCTGTCTCGTAGAGTTTTTAACCAGACGTTGAACGACGGTGAGACTACAGGGAAAGGGGGCCCAAAAGAATTGAAATAAAAGAAAGGAAAAAGGAAGGCACAAACAGAAGTGAACAATGGAGACAAGTCTGCGCGGAACAAAACAATGCTCAATGGTCGTTAGGCGATAGCAAGGGGCAGTTCGCATCAAAGCCTGGAACCCTGTCCGGTTCCCCACGTCTCGACAGGGGATGCAGTACTCACCTTTCTCATTCGTCAAAGTGTAGAGACGCGGACTGCAGGCTAGTATGCGACCAATTCGTTCCCTTTCAACTGTTCTTTGTCCGGGTCCATCGAGCTACTTAACAAGATGCAATTTCAACATGCAAAGTGACAGGATATGGTCTTCATAAGAGAGGAGCATATAGGCGAAAGCACACTGCTGAACGAGTTTACTTTCCTATCCTTGGTCGCGATCCAGTGTGGTCAGCGCACGGCATTATTCGCAGGGTGATTTGTTTATGTCAGCCTCATGCAGGTTAACGTATTTGGCGTCCTCGGGGTGCCGAGGCTCCTCTTCTGGGTTTGGCTTGTGAAGACGATGAGACCATTTTTGCAAGGCTGCAAAACATGACCATCAAAGAGCAATACGCCCCCACGATCAAAAGCTCAGACGCAAAGGTTAAGCAAAAGAAAGACCCATGCGGCTTGAGTGATTGAGATTCTGGCATCTGTTTTTCAGTCGGAAAAAAGCACAGGCCGTGTTGTAGGTGTCGATTCGGTGAAGAATAGGGGGAGCCAAAACATTGAAAAGGGGGGGTGTATGGGGACGCTTGTTCGGATAACCGCTTGAGTTGAAAGAGAATAGCCCCGGCAAACATGGTACAACGCACGTCCATTTCATTTTTGTACTTTCGTAGAGAACAAAGGTACCCAGCGGTACGTCGTGCGTCGCACTCAGTCCTCTGCTTGTTGTCTGAAGTGGTCTAATGTACGGAATCGTTTAGCGCCTGACCGGGGGCTCGTTGCACCGGCGAGACATGATCGACATTGGGACGAGCCTGACCCTGGTTCGAAGTTCTGAGTCGACGGCATTGAGAAAGCGAAATGAACGCCAAAGAACAACAATTGGTGCTTGTTGAGGAGGATGGGCTGAGCCGAAGAACAGTGATAATTACTGAATACAGTACAAGAGCATCGGGAATAAGCAAACATCAACTGGCGCAGTGTTGGACGGTCCGACAACGCAATGTTTGAAAGGACGAATACTTCTAGATGATAACACAATGAACCGCGGAAAGTGAGGGGGAGCCCAGCGGGGAGTGGGATACCTTGTTCCACTCGGCATCCACTTAATTGCAAAAGTGTCAGGGACGAGAGGAGCAACATACTTTTGAGAGGCACGAAGGATAGGCCTGTGTGAAGACGCATTTTCCGAGGCACTCGTCTGCTGTATGTGGTTGATAGTGACAGTTGCTTTGCTGAACGTGACCCTCTCCGAGCTTCGCCGTCAAGTGACCAAGTTCTTGTGCTCACCCCTCCCCGCTGCACCTGATATGCCTTTGTTTCTGTTGTAATGGTGGCTTTGTGGTGCATCGGGGATCTCACAGCTATCAGGGATCGCCACAAAATTAAGAGGCACGGGACGAGAGCTGCAAACCCACCAAACCTTAAAACCAGGAATAGAAATAGGACCTGGTGATATGGGAAGATACACTCATGCCAAAGAGGATTGACAATGGCGAGCCAAGGGACGGGTGAGGTCACACTCGCGAAGGCAGGCGAGAAGGGCAAGACCGCGAGCGGTTCAATTTTTAGAAACTCTGAAGGCGGTCAATTTATTTATACAGGGTTGCGAGCGAAGACTGGGACGGATTTTGGTGATATGTCAACTGGCATATTGATGTGCTTCCCGTGTTGGCTTTCTGAGTCCGAAACAGTGGTTCGTTGAGAGCAGCGTTCTTTTTATATCTTCAGATTCGATATCGTCAGTGCGTTTCCTTCTTTAATTAGAAGGTGGGTTGTCGTTATGGTCTCGCTTTGTGCCGCCTGCCCTCTTTGGCGTGTCGAACTCTGCCTGGGATACAGACACCATGCCTTCAATCTTCGCGGGAGCACATCATGGCGCAGTACGTAAAAGCGAACTGGTGAATAAGTCGGCTTTGGCTACACCTGCGAGATGCTGTCGACGATGTGTCGCCGTCGATGATGATAAATGTGCGTCCTGCCTCATGCACCACTTCGGCTTTTCGAGGCTTTCAAAGGCATAAACGAATGCACTGTAGGGGATGTGTGCCAAAGCAGGACACTTACAAAGCTAACAACGGACAACACACCGCCGAGAACACCATTCAACAGCGCCCATCCTAGCTTTTGGGGGGCAGGATGGCGTCACATCTGCCAGGATGGAAGCGAAATGGAAGCAAAAAAGAACGATGCGGTGCAAAGGGTTATCTCCCTGTTCGTTGGCTTTCGAATGGGGCATAGGACATCGCGCTAGGGGATTTCAAGAAGGAGGAAGAGATGCTGTGGAGGTCTTGTGGATTCTTGATGTGTGAAATGTGCCAAACCCAGTCGGAACTTCGTTGCAATCGAGCATGTGGTGGGCCAACCGCTTTGCCAATGGGAAGCGCTGAACATGCCGGCGACCCATAACTGGCCTTTTTGGCCCTGGTTGGGACGGCGAACTTTCTTTTGCGATGTTCAAGTAGCTCGCGGGCGTGTAAATGGGAGCTGCATTAGTGCCATGCACCGCCATGCAGTAGCGCCCCCCCTTTACATCCCCTCGCCAGCTGCAGCCCGAGCTTGTTTCTTTGCAATTGCGTCTCGTTGCGACTTGCGCCTACGACGTCAAAAATACCCGGTCTTGCGAGTATGCGTACTCCGTTGGGTGTCCAGCGGCACAGGAGAACTCATTTGTCCTTTAGCGGTCGTTAGACTGAGCTACAGCGCTCTCTTTTGGTCGCTGTGCGTCTCCAACTTTGTCGCAGTCTTTGTTGCTGGTCTTTGTGTCCGTTGTCTTATGTTGCGGGGGTGGGTCATCGAGATACTCCGTGGCCGTCATTCTCATCACTGCAGTGTATCTTCTGATATATGTGTTGTGATACGCTGGTCAAGATGGAAAGACATGGTCGAAGAGAGTGGCAGTCTGCCGTTGCGCCAGGTCGTCGCCGCCCCAGCAGCAACGGCAGCAGCATGTTGTAGCAGCAGCAGGAGGAGTAGTGCGCCGTCTCCTTTCAAGAGTGGTTCCCAAAACGGTGTCGGTGAAGCCAAAGCTTCTCCTACTAAGCACCTTATTTCCCAGGCCAGCAGGTCTCTCGTAGGAGGGAAGAGAGGGGTGCTAGCTCTTGAGCAAAATGAAAAGGACCAGCCAGGAATGTGGAACCGTCCTACCAATCGACTGCATACTCCCCAGGGTAAATCACCTAGAAAGTGAGAGCGGTGGTGGAGGTCGCCCTGATATGGTATCTTCTCGCTGGTACGAATGTACACCCCAGCTAGCTCTTCCGTCGTCTTTGCGTTTTCTTTTCTGCCTTCCATCTTGGGTGTAGTCCCGGCTGTTGATGTGTGAGGCTAGCGCAGTTTGGCTGATTGCGTGTGGGTAGCATCCAGCCGTTCTGATTTGCCTTTACTCCCCCTCTTTCGTTTTGGCGGCTGTGCTTCTCATCCCAGAGAAGCAGGCCGTCTTTGCCAGCGACTGGATGAGAGATGCGAGCTGAAGACCTTGGAGAAGTAGTTGAGGTATCGCGTAAACGACGCAGCCGAAGACATCGGGTTGAATAGTCGATGGACACACTCCGCATCCTCGAGGTCGGCTGCTAGACTGTGGTCAAAACAGCCATGTGAAAGCGCTCTGACCAGCTACTGGACTGTGCTCAAATCTACCAAAGACAGAAGCCGTCGAGCAACCAAAAAAGGTCTCGAGTCCCTGAATAATAATATCAAGGTCTGGGGATTGGTTGTAAGGGGGTTGAGCAAGTCTGTCGTCAGTTGTAGGTACCATTGTTCCGTGAAAACTTCATAGATTGGTTAGCACTGCCTGCGAAAAGGGAACATCCCCAGCGACTGGCTACTGTCACGATATCTTTTTGGCAAATGGGGGCTCGTCTTTCACACTGGCCTGGCCCAGGCGGTCAGGCCTGCACCCCCTTTTGGTTGTGGCAGGCCAAGACACTGTAATCTGACATACATGAAAGAGACGTTGTTTACCAACTCGAGTTTCCGGCCACTGTGCTGCTTTCACATTTTAGCGTTCTACTCCAGTGTCAGTTTGTTCGTTTTCAACTTTGGCAATTTAACCGAAATGTAACTGCGACACTACGTTGCGAGGTTGGAAGGCAAGTTGTGGGCGCTCAATGCAAGCTTTTAAAAAGACTGAAAAAAGGACAGAAAGTTTTGTGTTGAAGAGCCACTTACACGAAGGGGTTCTTTCTTCTTTTGGCTGGTCGGCGATCTTGGCAGGCTCAGATAGCAGGGCGACTTAAGGTTCGACGACCACTCGTCCTGTGAGATGCCTCCTGAAGGCTCTGGCATTGTCGTGGCCCCGAAGGATCGCAAAGGCCGCTTCGGCTTGTCTTTGTCGTGTCGTGACCGACCATGCAGGATATGCGATTTGTCGATGGAATGCTATGCAGTGAAGATAGCACAGAGAACACTCTTCAGAGGCACTGGAATCCAGCGAGCGCCTACTTGATTTAACGAAGACCTAGCCTATCCACTCTGGCTGGCACATCCTTTCTTCTTGTCCGACCGCTTGGGATTGTCCCCACAAAAAAGATAAGAGGGAAAGAGTGAAGCATCGTGTAACTGCTCACCGCAAGACAACGAAGTGCTGCGTTTCGGTCACTCACAGTCGGAGTTAGCCGGAGAGGAAGATGCCAAGCCCCAGATGAAGCTAGTAACCTGCGCTTGTGGCTTGAGAATTTGATGCCAACGACCCAAAATCTTCCTTGCACAAAGGTGGCGTTTTTGGCTGACTGGCATTCGTCGAACACGAGACAGAAGACCCATAGAAGCCTGTGTAGAAAACCAAGGAAGCGCGGCTCGAAGCAACTTTGCCCGGTTGTCGTTAGGAATCTGGAATTGATGAAATAAATCAGTGTCCGATCCAGCAAAAGCCAATGGGATCGAGACAATGAACGACCCTAACCCGATCTTGTTGCAGTGACATCAGATCAACGACTAACCGAGGAGTGTCGGTTGTGGCTTGTGCATGTGCCGTCTTTTGTGACATAGGAATTGTGTTTTTGTATTTTCTGGCGACGGCCCGAAGAGGATGTCGGGGCGGCGACATGCAATGTGCGTGCCTCGTCTTTGGCAGCAGTGGGCCGGTCATATTCGTACTCCGTAGGTACGAATACGGCGCGAACTAAAAACTGACACTGTGAGAGTCGACTTGTAACATCTTCATTCAGACCCAGCTATTTTGCCGTCATATTTGCTTTTTGACGTTGTCATATTCGTGTGCACCGGAGTGCGCTATGAGTGCCTCGGTTCGCTCTAACCATCAGTAGCATTTGCTCGCGTGCCCCAGTGGCCAGGGTACTGGCAAAGAATTCACCGGAACCCTTCTATTTGGCGACCTGCGCAGACGAGCTTAAGTTAATAGGGGCAGGTCAAATTAACGTTGCTCTGGACGCAGGCAATCCGTCAGCGGGAACGAGACATGGAGGAAACGACCCTGGGAACAGAAAATCGACAGCCCAGCGACTTACTTGGAGCGCCCACCTCACGTCTGCCTCAAATTTGGACGGGTCCCGCGTCATCACCGTTGCTCTCTCATCCCAGCCCTCATTTTGGTGTTCGCATCCGACTGTTCACATGCTGCCACATCGTCTGACAGCATGCTACCCCATTAATGAATCCCACTGGATGGGAAATATATTGCCTGCTGGTGGCTGTGTGGCGTCGCTGCCTATGAACAGGTCCTTGAGGCTTTGCCCTTCTTCTTTTGTACACAGTAACTCGTATTTTCGCCTTCGGCCGTTACGCCCACCCACCGAGCTTTCCGCATTCGAGCACTCGCCCAAGTGGAAACAAAAGCGTCGATACTCTAAAAGACTCGAACGGGATGAGAGGAAAGGTAGCGAGTGATGAGCGTCCCCTCGAGGCCCACCGGATTGTCCGTCAATGCCGTCCGATGATTGGTTGTGCATGTCTGTTCGATGCGCGTCGTGTGTTTTGGCCGTTGGAGACGGACGCGATGCCGTTTTAGCCCCTCGTGACAGGAGCGAATGCCGCGAGATCCAGGATTGGCTGCACCAGGCATTACTGGTATGGCCCAAGTTCAGATGTATGAAATGAAGGACAAAGGTGGGAGACGCATCGTGTTGTGCAAGAATCTTACGGGGGAGCGCATCTGAGGTGCCTTTGCCCTTGCCTTGCGCAACACCGTACCCCCTGCTGCGAAACGGGCTGACCTGAAATAAAAGGGCCGTCTATTTGGAGGAAGGCACTGCTCAGTAGGGAAAATGACAGGGTTGCCCTTTCCGCGTTCAATCTCGTCCAGTCCCAATATCCAGACAATGACGAACGCACGACATTGGAAAGCGCCACGGGAGGAAAGAGCAAGCAGATTGGCTTGTGTGACTGCTGCTGTCTGAGGCGTTTGCCATGACGGCATCTCCGCGTGGCTGCGCCGTGAGGCAAGAGCGTCCGGAACAGCCGTCCGCATACGGTGTATTACGTACCAGTCGTACTCCGTACTTCGTCGAGCACGATATAACGACTTAAGCAATCGCATCTGGCATGTGCTTTCGCTATTTATGCGGCCAATTTGGGCGCACAGATCAGCTACAGAGATTGTTTACGAGGACATGCGACTGGGGCCAAGCCCATGGCACAAAGCCAGGAAGGCGCAAACGACGGTCCAGGATGGAGATATCTGGACGGGAAGCGGCGACGCAGCCTGATGTTTGTTGTTGCTTCACTTTTCATACGACACAATTTGAACAAAAACGAAAATGGAGTCGCCCACAAACAGGTCACGCTAATCTGCATCAACCATCCTTAGTTTCCCCAAGGCACTTGTTGTCTCTTGCCGCCTCTCACCCTAGTCGACCCATCTCACTGTCCAACCCACCCAGACGGAGACAACAAGGCCTGTCCACCAACTGTACTTTGCCCCTCTCCGCGGGCAATCGCTTCGCACCATTCGAGCAAGAACGCACTTGTCTTGAAGGCAACTTTCACGCTCTGTCTCGGCGCTCGTAGTCGTAAAATTTTGCGCCTTTTCGACAATGCCTGATATTATTCCACAAATATTACAGAGCCTTGATTATAGAAACTCGCAGCTCCGGCGTTTCCAAAAGGTAGTAATTACTGGCCAGGAGACAGGTGTGGCCAGGTATCTAATTATCGCCAGTCGTCCACTGTCCACAGCTTTTCCATCGTGCCTTCCCGAACGAGAACATCTTCGTCCACTTACACGGCAACCGCGCGCCTTGCTGTTTCCCCTTCATATCCCTCCGTGTGTTCTCTCCCCCCACTTCAAGGTAAACCTTCTTTCCTCTTCTTTCTCCTGCCCTCCTGCCCCTCTCTTCCAGACAAAGCAGCAAACTGCAGGCATCTTAACCCCCCCTCCCTAAACATAGAAAAACAGATTAAAAAAAAACAGAACATAAAACCCACGCCTTCTTGCGTGCGCTACATTAGCGTACCCCCCTCCCCCTGGCTGGCCCTGCGTACACCCCTCCCCCCTTTCCTGGTGCTGTCGACTTTGTACCCCCTTGTACCTTCCCGGTGGATGTGCTGGAGGAAATGCAATGTGCTCTCTGAAGGCAAGCACGACCCAGAGATCACCTGCTGGACCTTGGCCCATCCTCCCCAAACCTCACAGCACCAAACGCGGGCGGGTTCATTGGCGCTCTCCTACTCCTGCCTCCAAGTCTCTCTTGTTTCTTGGCTCCTTCATTCTCTCGTCTTTTTAGCCTTTTATTATAACAGGACCTCTCGTTCTTTCCTTGTTCACGCAGTGCTCAGCTGCCTCCTTTTCCAACCATCACGCCTCTCAATCTCGTTTCTTTTTGGGTCTCCTCATATATTTTTTGTTTATTCTCGTCACGCCTCTGGTCATAACTGCTAACCAATACACGCTCATGGGCCTTCTCGTCGTCGTCTCATACGCTCTTCATCCTTGACCGTCTCAACCCTCTGTCGAGCTTTGGGTCTTCTTGTTGCGTCCCGTGTGTTCGTTTCTGTCACGCATCCTACCCAACGGCTGCGTCGTCTTTACGATTTTTGCTTGTGCTCGGCGACACCCTCATCTTGCTCGTCGGCCTTCTCTGTCTCTTGGTCCTCACGCATCTCGCCTTTGTCGTCAACCTGGCACCCTCCACGCTCTTCGCCTTGGCCCTCCCGGTTTCCTCCTCGTGCTCGCCCGTACACCTCGCATTTTGGAGTCATTTCTCCCTGCTATGGGCCGCTTCCGTTGCCATATTAATACCGCCCGTCTTCCCACGTCCCGACATATACGTCTTGTGAAGGCCGAGCCGCCAGACGATTTTTGAAAGCCGTTCTAGCAGCTTTTCAGGACGCCGACGATACGTTGAACTCCAAATCTCAGCATCTCCGCCTCATTTGATCTGTCCCTCTACTTCTTTTCTTTTACTTCAAGACCCGACCTCCCGCTCTTTCTACCCCTCTGCATCTCATCTACCCCTCTTCTCGCTCCTTCCTATGTTCTCGTTGCTGAGTCCTCCCTCATCCCGATATCATCATCCAACATTGTCTTCATCTTCATAGCATCTGTCTGCTCAGCTCTCGACACCATGACCGTCCCCATGAACGTCCAGCCTCCCAAGGCTGTTGAGGTCGCTGCCGCCGCTGCCTCTGCCGCCGCTGTGCGAAAGCGGAGACGGCGCACACCTGCAGGCGGTGCTGCTGACGATTGCTTCACCTGTTCCAAGAGGAATGTCAAATGTGACCGGAGACGGCCGTACTGCTCACAATGTCTGGAAGTGGGCAACGAGTGCTCAGGCTACAAGACCCAGCTTACTTGGGGCGTCGGTGTTGCCAGCCGAGGCAAGCTCCGTGGCTTGTCTTTGCCCATTGCAAAGGCACCGCCAGTGGCTCCCGGCTCAGGCAACCACACGCCGACTAGCCTCAAGAAGGACTCGATTTCTTCGCCAGCACGCCAGCGGTCCGAATCCACCGCCGGCAGCATGAACTCGTGGATGGACCGAGAGGCCATGGCGGCAGCCGCTGTTCTTTCGTCCTCTGTCAACTCTGCAGTCTCGCCTCGGAGACACCACGCACATGACGATGGCGACCTCACCTACGACCGGTCTCCCTCCGTGTCTCATGCCTCCTACTCGGGTTATGAGTACTCGCCCATGTCGGGCGACCATGCTGCTCCGACGTCTGGCCCGATGAATGTCAATGGCATGGCAGTTCAGGTGCCCATGTCCCAGCCGGACTGGGCTGCCGCGGCTGTGGCTTCACTCTCGCCCTTTTCTGGCAGTCTTCCGGCCGAACCACTTTCATACCACCCGAACCAGCACGCGAACCAACACCACCAGCACATGCAGGCACAACAGCAGCACCTTTCTACATCCATCGACTCGCTGAGCGAGGTAGACTACGTGTCCCCGATACACCACACACTGTCCCGCGAAGAGATTGCGTTTCTGCCCACTTCCACCGGCATAATGTACGACAGCCACCTGGCCGGAAACAACTCCCCGGTGCCTGAAAGCCCCATCGCGGCTATGATGATTGAGCAACGGGCAGCTCCGACGTCGTGCCCTAGTCTCGTCTATGCTCCCTCCGAGCAGGACTCGAGCTTGACATCGTCGCACCCAGACAACTTGGACGTGAATCTAAGCGCCAAGCTTCTGCGGGAATGTGACTCGATGGGTGAGTTCCTCTACATGTATGCTCCTTCTCCGCTCTCACACGGGTCAACCAAGGAGCAGATGAGGTATTTTCCATTTAGAAATAGCCTGACCTCAAAACTAACCTAGATCTAGGGACTCCTTCGGACATGGACACCTTCAGTACGAGCGCTCATTCCACGAGCCAGTTCTGGGGTCCCTTTACTGAGGGCGAAGCCTCGCCTCAAAACCAGGCGTCTGCAATCGCTGGAGCCTGGCCGCCCATGATGGAGGACCAGAACACTGTACCAGTGACCTCGGATCTGCTCGTGAAGATGCCTTTCTTTATGGATTACTACGAAAACACAATGTGCCCGTCCATGGTTTTCATTGACGGTCCAAACAACCCGTTCCGCGTTCACATTATGCAGCTTGCCCGCTCGAGCCGCAGCCTGCAGCATGCTATCTGTGCCCTGGCCTCTTGTAATCTGCGGATGAAGCGCAGGCTCAGCCTTGGACAGCACGGACGCGATCTTTCGGATACGTCTGACGATTCGACAACCCCCGAGGACCTTTCTGTCACCGAGGAATACCAACACCGCAACCTCGCCGTACACCTCTTGAACGAACAACTGAACGACCCCGTTAAATCCCGCCACGATTCCGTTTTGGCCACCATACTTCTTCTTTGCCACTACCGCATGGCGGAGTCGGGCATTGCACGTTTCCACACGCATTTTGCTGGCGTCAAGAAAATTTTGAGCCTGCGCCGTTCATCACCATTCCCGCCCTCTCGCGACTGTGCTTGGATGGAATCCGTTTTCACCTACTTTGATGCTATTTCCGCGAGCATCAACGACCGCGAAGGCCAGCTCAACACGTCATTTTATGGCGTTCTGCCCGACACCCAGCTCCTGTCACAGGGCGCTGAGAACCTGGTTGGTTGCGACCGCGAGTTGTTTCGGACCATCGTAAAGCTTGGGCGTCTCAACCTCCTTTCGCAAAACCGCCCTGTACAGGACCTTTTGAATCCCAGCGGCGGCGGCCATGGAAACGGCGTAATGGGCCGCCGTGGCTCCCGGACTCAAGGTTCGCGCCCTGACCGGTTCGTCAACGGTTTCGGGCCCACGCTGGAGGAAGAGGACATTCTGCTGCCTGCTTCGAACCCCACCCCCTCGTCTTTGAACGACCCTCGCATGTTGTTTTGGAGAGAGTGGAAGGAGGCTCGCATTGCCCTCCAGTCGTGGGAGTTTGATCCCCAGCGCCTGATTGCCTCGCTGCAGGACTCGACGCCGACCAGCAGCACTCAGGTTCGCGACCTTGGGTCGCTTTCGGAAGCCTTCCGCTATGCTGCGCTCCTCTATACCGAGCGTCTTGCGAGCCCAAACGTGCCATCGACACACAACAACTTCCGTAATCTGGTCAGCCAGGTTGTCTACTACGCCACGAGCCTCGAAGCCGGCTCGTCTGCCGAGAAGTTCTTGCTGTGGCCTCTTTTTGTCGCCGGAAGTGAGTGCGTCAACGAACTCCAACAAAACATTGTGCGCTCCAAATGCCGCGAGATCATGTCCCGTTCAGGTTACATGAACAACTTGGCAGCCCTCGACGTGCTGGAGCGCCTCTGGGCTAGCGATTTCCAGGACCAGGACAACATCACCCACCGGCGGGGACCTTTCAACTGGGCTCGCTGCATTGGCGGTCCTGGCGTGGACGTCGAGTGGATCATGTTTTAAGAACGCTTTTATCTATTCTCCGGGCGTTACTCAATGTCTTCTCAATCTCCCACTATTTCGCTCTCCCGACCGCTTTCATCACTAATTCCCCCTTTCCTGGGGTGCTGGTTTACGGCCATCCATGTCAACCAGCTTATTGTATTTGTATGGTTTTGTTTCTATTGTGCGTCCCTTCCTATGTTGTTACGGGTCACGTCATGATGGTAGGCAGGCTTGCCTTCCTAGTTATGTTTTTTTTTGGCGCTGCGTTTTGTTTTCCTATTTTAAATTGGGTTCGCCACTGGTCTGGTTGGGGTGTTTTATTGCTTCTACGGGTATGATTTCCTTTTTTTTGCTTCTTCCTCCGCTTCTCTATTTGTGCGGTCTCATTCTGGGAGCCTCGTGGGGTCTTCAAGGGCGATAGAAAAAATCACTGGTTTTCTGGTCGCCATGAACGGGAGGATATGCACCAAACACAACACGCAACGCAACACACATATACGCTTGGGAAACACGATTCCTCTAGGGGTCATGAATATAACGACTTCTTTACGCCTCTCTCTATCAAACTACACGGACCATCTACCGTGTACTATCTACCATGTCCTTCGTTCTGGCAATGGCAATTAGCTCTGCAGAGACAGTTTACAACTCAATGCTCACGATGAAAATTCCCCCAAAAAAGAACTTTGTCTTTTGTGAAAGCCGATGTGATATGATGTTAGGCGGCCAATATTCTGAAAGAAAAATAAGAAGGCGATATGTGGTGGTGAGACATAGCATTGCTGCGAAAGTGGGGACACCTGCGAAAAGTTGCGTGTTAATGTCCCAAAAAGGAAAGAGGGCATATCAGGCCTGCGTTTTGGGCTTCGGAAATGACATGGGCCCATAACAAGGTGAACGGTTCGCTTGGAGTGATGCCCTAGAAATATTTCTTTATAAGCGACTTGCCTACTTGGAGATTTCTCTATTGGAAATATTTCGCTCCGCGAGCTTTTTTTACTTCCATTTTCAAAAATTCATCATGTACCAGAGTGAAAACCCAGTGCTGAAAAGCGTCTATGACAGGCCGTACGTTTAAACCAGTGAATAAACACAAGTCAAAATAACATTGGCGGCCGGTTTGCAAAAGGATCCAAAAAAGGCAAAGAAATTTCATAATATGTTAATAAATGCAAATTATCGCAATGCAATCCCACGGCAGTCCGTCCTCATCTATAAGAGACCTGGACCAAGCCAGTCCTCGGCCATGCGTCTATGCTCCTTGATACGCGTCGTTCCCTCTTTACAGAGACTTCTCCACGGCCATCACCTCGGCGATACCCTCTGCAATGGCGCTAACACGGGCGTCGTCGATGCGCGGGAGCGGCCGGCGCGGGTAGCCGCCGTAGCCAAAGTACGACTGGATAGCCTGCTTGGTGCCGGCCACGGCGGCCTTGGTCAGGAACCAGTCACCGCGCGACAGCACCTTTTGCAGCGCAGCGGCCTCCTCGGTCTTGCCCTCGGCATACAGGTTCCACACGCGCGCGCACACCTTGGGCATGACGTTGGCACCGCCGGCAATGATACCGCTGCCACCGCTGACGAGCGTCTGCACGGTAAAGTCGCACATACCGCCAAAGGCCATGTAGCCTGAGCCCTCCGACGAAGGCGTCTTGGCGTTGGTCGCCAACGCCACACGGGTCAGCTTGCCCGTGTTGCCGCAGGTAAACTTCGTGCCGACGATGTTGCGGTGCTTGGCCAGGCGGATGAGCAGGTCTGAGTCCATGTCGATGCCGGACACGGCACCAGGGTAGTTGTACAGGACCAATGGCAAAGGGCTCGCGTCGGCGACATCAATAAAGTAGTTGTAGACGGCGTTTTCGTCCATCTGGGCGCGGAAGTACGAGGGCGGCAGAAGCAGGGTGTAGTCAGCACCGGCCGCCTGGGCCAAGCGGCTGAGCTCAACGGTGCCCTTGACGCTGCCCTCGGTTGCGCCAATGATTATCGGCGTGCTGTTGAAGCCCGCCGCATCCAGCGCCTCGCGGGTGGCCTTGGTAACGGCAAGCTTCTCCTCACGGGTGCAGTGAGCAGCCTCGCCGTTCGAGCCCATGGTCACGAGGCCGACCAGACCGTCACGAACCAGGCGCTCCGCGTGCTTCTTGATCGTAGGGATGTCGAGCTCCTCGGTCTCGGGGTCGAAAAAGGTCATCGTCGGCGCGTAGATACCGCACGGGAGCGGTCGCCGATGTTCGGTATGGCCGTTTGTGCCGTTGGTAGCCGACATTGTGAAGAATGTGAAGGGCGGAAAACAGGAAAAGGAAATTCGAGGGTGCCAGACGAGCACGTGTAGAACGGAACAGAGGATATCAAATATGCAATGGTGGTATGAAGCAGAAGAATGGTACAGAGAGTGACCGAAAGAAACAAACAATTAAGATCCGAAGAGAGAGCGTGAAAAGTAACAGGGAAAATGCCGAACAGTTATAAGTCGAGGGAATAAACCCGAAGAAAATCAGAGAGAGACAAAAAATAAACGACAAGAGGTGCTCGCCTTCGGTTCACACTGTTCCACTGTCCTAATCGTATCCACGGTGGCTGACCGGAACACGCTTGTGGGAAGCGCAGTGCTGCAGGTTGGCTCGCAAGGTAATAGTCCGAGGGTTGGCGACTTTTTGCACCGTGTGGAATTGGTTTCTCCTTCCTTTTCTTTGGCCTGCGCCGTCGCTATTTTGGCGTGCCTCTTGTCGCTCACTCTAGCAATTTGTGCATTTCCCCATACTACCCCTCTTTCCCCGGTTTTCTGACCGATGCCTTTATTTTCTTAAGTGCCTGCTTTGATGCGTGTCTTGTGGTATCTTGTGGCATCTCGTGGCTTTTCGTGGCATCTTGCGAAACAAAAGGTGTGCTTTCTGCCTTGCTTCAGTTCTCGGCTTGCTGTGTTGGCCGAATAAAAAGGCTTCTAAGGTACCAGGTGGCAGACCGTCCGTTTCCTGATACGACGCTCAACGTTTGAGTCTATGCCGCCGTTGCGTAGAGGACGGCCATTTCCGTCTCTCACTGCAGGAAGAGATCTCAAGGGGGCCCACGATGTAGCCCGGGATGGTTGTGTTCTATATGATAATTGGCATGCAATATGCGAGGAGCATCCTTTCTTCCGTTTCTTTTCGCCTGCATGCATTTCCTCGCCTGCACTTGATCTCGCGTCTCGCGTCTCACCGTAATCCTGTATGTCCTCGCCATGCCTGCCGGTGCCTTGGCACGGGTCGCAATGTACAGCAAGACGTGCAGGTAGGTACAGAGAGAACCATGACCAACACGGTCGTCGTCGTCATGTGCGCCACCACTGCATCACGGCCGTCATAAAGCTCGTATATCCGGATGATAAGAGATCTCGGGGCTAGAACAATATAGAGATGTCATGGTCATGACGCTGTAGATAAAAAACAGTAATGGTGGCGGATGAAGTTGGCTCTTGTAATCAAAACATTACCTACGGCAGGCATGCAATATCAAACCCGCTGAATAATTTAGAGCGATGATCCCAAAATAAGAACGGGAAATGGATGTAGCCGCCGACGAAGCGGCAATGGCGGCGTGAAAGCGGTGTAAGCTTCGAGTCTTGGTGGTCGTAAAAATGCTGAGAGCGGGAAAGTTGGTACCAGCACGACAAATAAGCAGAAGACCAAGACAGGCTCATGGCAGATTGGAAATTGTATCGGGGACAACAAAGCAAGAGAAGCATTCAAAAATGCGAAACAACCAAGAGTTGCACATCCGAAAGCAGTTGCTGTGCCCGTGACCTAAGTCTTGGGTGCAGCAAAGGGGCCCCAGGATCAGCGGAGCTGCACAAGGCCGTTTTAGGACACTTTTTTTCTTGGGGCCGTCGTTCAATGCGTCAATTTAGCTTTCTTCTCTTGCTGCATCGTCTGGTTGTGCTGCCATGCACACGTCACGACGGGATCAGAGTTTGGGTGTACACCAATCCCCTCTGGACCGGTGCCGCAAATGCCACAAGAGAAACATATGGTGGATACGTAGCATTCACCCCGTACGTTGCGCCATGTTTCTTGGGGCCAATGATATGTGAGAATTCGGATTGTCATCGGGACTTTATACCATTGCTTGTCGATTGCTTGTTCGGCATCCGGTATATTCTGCTAGTCCGGATGAAAGTTCTCTGGCGCGAGTCCGTGATCCCGACAAGTCCGTTTCGTATCAATCACAAGCAGGATTAATCAAGTATTTTGGACAGTTAGATTAGTAGGCTGAGAATAGGAAGCAATTTCTGACGTTGATGATGATGTTGTAAAGAGAACTTCCTCTAAAGGAAAGGGGGCAGACCAGAAGGCTGCGGCTGTGGCTGGCGGTGCACATTCTGAGTATGGTAGGCGCGGCCAGGTTGCGCCTTCCTCGAACCACCACCGGTGCAACATAGGCGATGGTGTGTATCGGCAAGAGCGCGTAACTGAGGTGCATCTGCGATACCCGATGCTCCTTCCAGGTTTGCTTCTTTGCGATACGACACTAGAACCCATACCATTAAGCACGGCAGGAGCGCTTCTGGGGTTACCCATCTTCATCCCCATGTGAGTAACGAGTCGAGTGCGCACCTGCCAACTGCCTCAAAGTACACCCGCTGCTCCGGTACTCGGTGAGCGTTGGAGGACAATGGAACGAGGTTCTCGAAAATCCGTGCCATACAAGGAGCGGCCATTAACAAGGTCCGCATATTGCGACTTACACGATGTAGGAATCGATGTGCGCTAGTGACGGGAAAACAAGTTGGTGTATTTTTCCTCCAATCAGCAACAGTCACTGTCACCCACATTAAACCAAGGTGACAACACCACCACCTAGCCCAAGTACCATACGAAACTGCTTCTACGGGGTATGGGCGTATACGTTGTCGTCAGTAAAAAGCTCGTTGTCGATGCTGTGTTTTTGTTGTTGGAAGTCGTTCGCACCTTCCGGCCGCCGAGGGTTCTAGCCTTCTGTTGTTTTAACTCGAAGGGCCAACAACTCTTTCCCAACTCAGCCAAAAGATGCACATCACTGATCGCGGGGCAGCCTAACTGTCGGGCAACACTGCAGGAGAAAAACGTGGGGGCGGGGCATCGACAACAGCACTGAGATCCGGCAGTGCGCAGTGTCATGGGAATGCTGTGTAGGGCTCCTCCAGGTACAGATATTGCGTTACAAAACGTAGCATTATGATCTCTCCTGCCGCTTTTCGGTTTCTTGCATTCTGGCCTGGTATACCTCTCTAGGAAAGAACGATGTACTAGCTTGCCACACAACATGCACAAACGGCAGGAGCGCGCATCCTAGTCGGGCAAGAAAGCCCGACTATTCAAGCTGATATATGCCAAGTGCCCTCCAAAGCTGGCAATGTAATAGAGACAAGAAGATAAGAAGTCTGGTCTGGCAGTTTTACAACTCCTAAATGCTGTACTGTAAGCGGCTATAAGAAAGCAAGTTCCGCCAGCAACAAACCGGTAATGAAGCGATGATGTCGTACAGGAAGGCCACTGCTCCTTCCCTGAGCCCTTTGAAATATCACAGGAAAGAATCGCGGAGGCAAGTCCCTGCTTCCTTCCTCGCAACTCCCAAACAATGAGTGAATGGGATGGCCAAAGTGTCGCTCTTGCCCTGACTAGCGAAGCAAGTCAACTGGCGGACGTCATTAGGCCGAAGTCTGAGCCAAGCGCCGTCTTTCCGCTCCTACAGCCGTCTTTCCTACCCCTCAAAACTATCTCCACCAAAGCTCCGCCAGTCTCCAAGCTTCGACCATTGTGTATTTTTCCGTCATCCGACACAAATCTGTAGCGGCATCGGTTTCTCCAATTGGCCTGTTGATTTGTTGGAGAAGCCAAGCTCGCAGAGATTGCGAATCAAGTATGAAGTAGAGCCAGACTCGCAGCAAATCGACTGCACCTGCAAAACAAAACTCGAGGGAAAATCGACCTGCATCAAGCATCTTTCGAATCTTAACGTTTGCAAAGAAGCTCAGAGATACGAACTGCGACAGACAAAAGTGTTTCCAAAGCTTCATTCTAGCTTCATTATATCCTGCGTTTTTGTCGTCTTTGTCCAATTCACCAACAGCAACCGACATTATGGCCACTCTCAATGTTCTGATGGTACGTGGAGGACTGGGGGAAGAAAGCTTCAATCCGCTCCGCCGTATACTAACAGGTTGCATAGGTCGGTACCGGCGAGTACACGACTGGCTTCGTCGGTGGCGGCGCCTCTGGCTCGGACAAGAAGGTCGGCGTGGTGGGTCTCAGCCTTTTCGACCTGCGTCGGCGCGGCAAGGTCGGCGATCTGTCCATGGTCGGCACGACAGGGTCCAAGTTCCCAGCCATTCGTGAGTTTTCTTGGGGTGCCACTCCTTGCCGCCTTGCTTGCCATACTAACAAGACTGCTGCAGGTGATCACCTGCAGAAGAACATTACCGAAACGTACAACGGACTCGACACCTCCTTCACGTCGTACCCGGCCGAGGGCGTCCGGAATCCCGACGCCTACAAGGAAGCCATTGATGCGCTCAAGAAAGGCGACGCCATCACCATCTTCACTCCCGACCCGACGCACTTCCCCATTGCCCTCTACGCCATCGAGCGTGGCGTCCACGTCATGATCACCAAGCCGGCCGTCATGACCCTCGAGCACCACGTGGCGCTGATCGACGCCGCACGGAAAAACGGCGTCTACGTCTACATTGAGCACCACAAGCGCTACGATCCGGCCTATGCCGATGCGCGCCACCGCGCCAAGAAGCTCGGCGACTTCAACTACTTTTACAGCTACATGTCGCAGCCCAAGTCGCAGCTCGAGACCTTCAAGGCCTGGGCGGGCGTCGAGTCTGACATCTCCTACTACCTCAACAGCCACCACATTGATATTTGCGACTCCATGGTCACCCAGCTCGGCTACGCCCCCGTTGCCGTCACCGCGTCCGCCTCCACGGGCGTGGCCGCGGCGCTCGGCTGCGCACCGCAGACCGAGGACACCATCACGCTGCTCGTGCGGTGGCAGCACAAGTCAGAGCCCGGAAAGAGCGCGACGGGCGTGTACACGGCGTCGTGGACGGCGCCTCAGCGCGCTGGCGTGCACTCGAACCAGTACTTCCACTACCTGGCCGAGAAGGGCGAGGTGCGCATCAACCAGGCGAAGCGCGGCTACGACGTGGCCGACGACAACGCAGGCCAGCTGATGTGGTACAACCCGTTCTACATGCAGTATGCGCCGGACGAGGACGGTAACTTTGCAGGCCAGTCGGGCTACGGCTACGTGTCCATGGAGAAGTTTGTGGACGGCTGCCGGGCGGTGAACGCGGGTACGGTCACGCCCGAGGGCCTGGACGCCAAGGCGCTGCCCACGCTGGCCAACACGATTGCAACGACGGCCATCCTGGAGGCCGGCCGACGGAGCATAGACGAGCGCCGCGAGGTCGGCATCACGACCGAAGGCGGCGTGTGGAAGCTGGTGTAATGAAAAAAGAAAACCCGATTCTGGTGTCCTTGTACTAAACCCCGCGTGGGACACAACTGCGTATAATTTAAAAATTTGATTTTATAGCCAAAGGTACTCGCGTATTGTTGGGAGTTTTTTATATTGACTCTTGCTGCACGACACAAACATCTCCATCTCAAGCCGCTTGGCGTTGTCGCTGTGCCGCCACAATCGTATGACGATGGAATCAGCGGGCTAGACATTTTCGTGACCTCATGGTGGGCGGAAACAACTGTTATCAGATGCTCAAGTACTGTTCTATTTTGTGCCTTTCAGAAAACGCTCCCGCACGCAATGGTATGCCCACATTAAAAAAAAGATCAAAAATACTGGGCCAAGAAAACAATGCGAAATACATGCAAAGAAGTAAACAAAAATCGAATACCGTAACAAGCTAGAGTAGATGGCCTTCCTTTCCAAAAGATATCGCTTCTGCCCAGTATCCTCTAAACCCAGTAAAAACGCCCACGACGAACAAGAAACGAAAGAGAGAAAAATGACAAATGAATGGCGATACGCATCAATGTTGAAAAAAGTGAACTCTGGACGCTAAACAGTTCCATTTCGTGGGAAGAAAAGTGTGAAGAACATCGAACGAGTAGGAACGCGAATAGGCCAAAGCTCTCGCGCACGTGTGATTAGGACGTTCTCAAACTTCTCCGTGCTCATTTCTCAGTCAGCATCACCATGTCTGGATCATGGCTCGTATCGCGTTTAGTGGTGATCGTAGTTAGCATCGGGGAAGTGCACAGGGCGGGTATCGTCGTAGGTGTCGTGCACCGTGGGCGGCGCATAGCCCGAGTGGGCAGAGGTGCCTAATGACGCCGAGCTCGCAGCAGGGCGCAGGCCGTGGTTGTCGTCAAAGGGGTTGTCAGAATGCGAGACGTTGCCACCACCCAGGTAGGTGGTGTCCATGTGGCTACCGGCGTTGGCGTAGCTGCTGCCACCCCCGCCAACCGTTGAGCCGCCGCCGTAGCCGCCCATGTCACTCTGGTAGTCGTTGTGATCGTAGTCGGGGTCCATGTTGTTGATGCGGGCGTAGGGTTCCTCGTCATGCGGGGCAGTCGAGAAGGCGGCCATGTCGGGGTCGATGTTCTGGCCGCCCTTGGCGCCGGTAGTCTCATAGCCGGGCAGGTGGCCGTTCATCTGGTAGTACTTGAGAGAATAAATGCTCAGGAATGTCGTGATGCCAAAGAAGATGCTGGAGCTGGTCAGCATACACCAATAAACAGTAAAAAAAGAAGAAAGACAAAAAACGAAACAGCAAAAATAGGAAGCCGCGTTTGCCGGACATACGTGTTGAAGACACCGAGAGCTACGACGGCCTTACTGGCGCCGCAGCCGTCACCGCACTTGCCAGCCGAGTTGAAGGAGGCCTGTGCAGCAAAGGCCGACAGCCAGAGGATTGTGTAGAGTGAGTCGATGGCGACCATGACATGAGGTTCGGCAAAGCGCCGTGTCCGGGGGAAGCGCGGCGCGCCAATCAGGTAGATCCATGCTGGTATTGAGAGGAAGCACTGTGGCCGTTAGATTTCCATGTTTGACAATGTTCCACTGGCGCCTCGCACCGCAGGCTCGCACCCGCCGCCATTACGTGTTTGTGTCCAACGTACCACAGCAAATGCCCATCCGTTCGGGCCACTGACGGACGAGTCCTTGGCGCGGAACACGACAATAGCCAAGACCCAGGCCACAAAAGAGAAGGCAATCTGGGTGACATGGAGGATGAGTTTGTAGAGCGGAATCCTGTCCGCGTTGATCTGCAAGTCATCCAACATGATGGGCGACTCTGTCAGGGTTGGTTGTCAAAGGTAAAGGTCGAGAAAGTGAGGCCGGTCGGAGGATGCAGTGGAGTTTTGTTTGCCAGAAATTCGTGCTGAAGCTGGTATGGTCGAGACAGCTAGTGACGGCACTCGAAAACGAGACTGAAAGAGTCGATGTCGAAGCTCAAAGCTCGAAGATAGCAATAGTCAAAGGGGCGTCGGCGGATGTGAGGAGCTGTTCGACAAAAAGAAACTGAAGCTCGTTTCGACCTTAAGGGAGGTTCGCGCTGTTCCAAAAGAAGAAGAAGAAATCGGTGCGGTTAGAGGTAGAGACGTGACGAGAAATGCGAAATGGAGAAGCAAGGCTCAGAGTCGAAAGAGATTAAGGAGGTGAGAAGATGATGACGAAAAGGAACGAAGACGGAAACGGAAGAATCAGAAGACAAGTCCAGTCATGCAACTAAAAGTGCATCTGGAGATTGGGAAGGCGCGTTTGTTCCTTCTGATTTTGACGAAAGAGGCAGAAGCATAAGCAGCAGCAACCCAATCGAACGCGCGGACCGGTTCGTAAGGGTGGTTGCTCTCGCCCGCTTGTTCTTTCCAGGCCCGTACCTGCCCTGGATCTGGAATTTTGTTGTTGCCCTGCGCCTAGCCTGGCTGTGTTTATTTTAGTCTTTTTCTCGTTGATCCCGTCACCTTTACCTATTGACGCTCTCTATTGGGCCTTGGGTCTGAAAGAGGTCTATTTTCCTTTATTTACCGTCGTGGTCCCTGTTTTCCGGCACACTATTGTTTTTCTTTGACGCTATCCGTCGCCAGGTGTAACGGCCAGGGGTGGTACGGCTCTTTCCTGGCGTTGCCTAAGAAAGATGCGTAGGCGGGGCTAAATTTTGGCGAATCAAGGGCGCTCAGCCGCACAGCTCTGAGGCAAGAATCAAGGAGCGAGAGCCTGAGAGCGTAGGTTGCGTGGGCCGCACGAGGGTCGCCACCAAAATTCTGACGAAACAGCCTATACGAGCTCAGCCACAGCACAGCAGACACCTTTGTTCCTTCCCTTTGGCGTCTGTTGTTTGCTGCGCGGTGGGGCGCGCCTTCTCTGTGGGTGGCTGTGGACACTCAAAACGGCAAGACGAGGCGGACGTGAAGTAAACGGCGAGAAAGAAAGGGAAAGAGCGATGAAATAGTCTCGTCCAGAGCACGAAACGGTCCCATCGCGGGCTGTCTGTGCGAGATAAAGCCCACGATATGCACATCGGGTTAAGAAGCCCAATGACAAGGCAGATACGACGTTGAGCTGAAAGAGATAAGACCGCAGGTGGTATGAAAAAACGACCACGACAAGGCCAGCGAGAAGGGAAAGGCAAAAGTCTCTTGAGACGACCAAAAAGGCGCAACAGGACAGGCAACAGCATAGCAAGTGCCACTTTTGGAGCCGCAGCAAGTTCCTTCCTTCACTGTAATGTGCAGTTTCCGTGTTCGCATGTTGGCTCCTGTATTGGGAAGTAAATCGTAGTTCGTCGCCTATCTTATTTCCTTCCTTGTAGTCGTGTCGTCACTCTTTCCCAATTTCTCGCTACTTTGCCGCCCTGCACCATTCACACGTAATGCTGTCCGATCGCTCTTGCCGTTACTGTGTGCCTTGCAAAAGATTGCGCGTTCCTGCCCTTGGCACACTCCGCACAGAATTACTGAGCCTTGCGGAGCGGTGTTTAAATGCCGTCGGTGTCCCCTGTCTCCGCCAGACGCCCAAGGCAGAGCACAGTGGGAAAGAGCGATCCAGTATTTGGAGCAGTCGTCCCGTATGCACCTATGCGATCTCCAAATCGGTCCCTGCATCCTGTCACCAGAAACCTCATGAGCGTCTGTGGCTGCCATCACCAGCACAGCCAGGCGTTTGCATGCTTTGCTGGGATAAGATGCCGTTGGCTGGTCTATTCTCACGAGTCGTCACCCTGTAATTACCCCGTACGATCTGACATCGAGCTTACTGGTGAGTCGTAGAGTGAGAACAATGTTGAACTAGCTCCAGCAACAAATTTGCTGAGACTCCACTAACCCTACTTTGTAGTCTTACTTGGTACCCAGGTTAAATCCCACGCTTTTGTTTTTATTTCATCTCAAGGTCACTCTCGTGATTATCGTGATAACTGACCCGCCGTTAACATGAGCATATTCTATTATGCAGTTACGCGGGGCTCACTCTTTCCCGAACATAAAAAACAGTGATGGGGGGCAAGCACCTTCCGTTCTAGCACAGATTGGTGAGATTGGTGGGGACGCCGATAGCGCAAGACGATGACAAAAGCAACCCATTTGCTCAACGCTCCTGCCGTGAAGGCGACATCAAAGAGCCACACTCGACGTAGTCTCCTGAACTTTGTCGTTTCACATCCATTACACAAAAAAAAAGGAGGCAACACAGTGAGAGCCTCGTGTACTTTCTAGCACAACTCGCACGGCGTACACGCTCTCTGTTGAGGCTCTGCGCACTGGTTTTCAGACTTCTTGGCATCCGGTTGTCTGCCTGTACAAAATGCCAGACGCCGAGTCCGCCCCGTCTGCAGCCGCAGCTTCGGCTTCAGTCTCCGAAAGAACGCCGCTTCTGCCCAACAGCAATGACAGCACAAGCAGCGTGTTCTCGACGCCCAAGTATGCCGCAAACGGCATAAACAGTGCAAACGGTGATGCTACTCCGCCCGCGAGCAACGACGACCTCGAAGACGCCACGGCCGGCGGCAACGAAGAGCAGGTCGTTGTCGTTCAGGAGACGCGGACGCGCATCTTCGTGGTCCTCGGCACCGTCTACGTCGGCGTGTTTGTGGGCGCCGCCGACGGGAGCGTCATCGCCACGTTGTCGGCCCCCATTGCCAGCGAGTTCCGCTCGCTCAGCTTGTTGTCGTGGCTAGCCGCGGCATATCTGGTCGCCAACGCCGCCTGCCAGCCTGTTTCCGGCCGCATCACCGACGTCGTCGGCCGTGGCCCCGGCCTGGTCTTTAGCAACGTCTTCTTTGCCTTGGGCAACATCATCTGTGCCTCTGCCCAGAGCGCCAGCACCATGCTCGTCGGCCGCGTCGTGGCCGGCATCGGCGGTGGCGGGCTCATGGCCATTGCGACGTTTTTGGCGTCCGACCTGGTGCCTCTTCGCCAGCGCGGCGTCGCCCAGGGCATCGGCAACATTGCCTTCGGTACAGGTTCCATGCTGGGCGGCGTGCTGGGCGGCGCGACCGAGCACGTCTGGCAGGACCGCTGGTACGGCGGCTGGCGGCTGGCCTTCTACGCTCAAGTCCCCGTGTCGGTCGTGTCTGCCATCCTGGTCTTCTTCTTGGTCCGTGTCCCGCCACACCAGCCCGCCGACGACGTCGGCCTCGGCCACAGCAACTCGGCCCTCTCCCAGCTCGGCCGGATCGACTTCCCCGGTGCCGGCTTGTTGGTGGCCTTCCTCGTCACGCTTCTGCTCGGCCTGAGTGCCGGTGGCAACGTTGTGCCCTGGACACACCCGCTTGTTCTGGCTTCGTTGCCCCTGGCCCTCGTTGCCTTTGCTGCCTTTGCGGTGTGGGAGGCGGACTACGCCCACCACCCCATCATCCCCGTGCGCCTGGTGGTGACCCGCACCGTTCTGGCTGCTTGCATCGCCAATCTTGTCTGCACCGCCGCCATGCTCACTGCCGTCTTTTACGTTCCCCTCTACCTGCAGGTGCGTGGCTACTCGGCTGCCGAGGCCGGCGTGCGCTTGCTGAGCTCGCCCCTTGCCGTGTCTTTCACGTCGGTCGGCAGCGGCCTCGTCATGAAGAGCACGGGCCGCTACGTCAGACTCGGCGTCGCAGCCCTCGTCATCTTTGTCAGCGGCTACGCTCTGGCGGTCGTTGGCCTTTCGTCTATCGACTCGGCACCTGTGTTCCCCTTTGCGTCGCTTTTCTTCATCGGCGGTGGCTTCGGCGCCATGCTCACCATTACGCTACTCGCCTGCATCGCCTCCGTCGCCCAATCGCGCCAGGCCGTCATCACGTCCGCCACCTACGCCTTCCGCTCCGTTGGTGGCACGCTCGGTCTGACGCTGGCCTCGGCTGTCTACCAGAACATTTTGCGGAAAGAGCTGTGGGCCCGCTTTGGCCATCTGCCCGGTGCGGCCGAGGAGATTGCGCGCATCCGCGACGACCTGGGCGAGCTGCAACACTTGCCGCCGGGCTGGCACGATGGCGTCATCGCCAGTTTCATGGATGCCTTCCGCGGTGTGTGGCTGATGGGTCTGGGTCTCGGTGGGATTGGTCTCGTCGCCATGGCACTCATGAAGCAACATACGCTGCACTCGACACTTTCGCGGCCGTAGAAAAAATGTCCCAGTTCTCGTACGCCCATACATACGCGCGCCTACGGCTCTCGGAGACCTCAAGCTCTTGCTAAATCGACAACCCGGCCTCGTATTTCTGTTTGCCAGAAAAGCATAGCTCATTGATGACGGTTTTCTAGAATTGGTTTGAATAGACAGACAGGAACTTTAGACTATATTATTCAGGATATTATTGGTTTATTTCTCTTTTTTTTTTTGGAAAATAATTCGAGCTGTCCCTTCATATCATCTGAGAGCACTTTTATTTTATTTATAAAAAATTTCCATCTTAACGCAAGAATATTGTGGAATTTATATTATAAGTACGGCGTATCTGTCACGCAACCCGAGTCAACTTTCAAGAATCAATTCTTAAGTGTAATGACATAACATTGCATGTTCCTCTTTTGGGAGTGTCCTATGAAAGCTCTTTTACACTATTCTACAACCCAGCAAAGGCGCTTCGCAACGAAACAACCGAATCGTGAGCCTGTCGACGTGCATCGTCGCCTTAAAGGCAACACTCGCGTTCGAAACAAATAAAAAAAGACGTCAAAAGTCCGGCACCGCAAAGTAAAGATGTGCATCCGATCCCATAGCATGCAGCCATGCCGAGCCTAGTCAAATGCTAATAAAACGCCACGGGTGGTATAATGAAACAAGCAGATGTTTAAAGAACAAGAAAAGGAATGATGGAAACGGGACAAAACGCTGTTGGGCAAAAAAGGAAACCGGCAATCGAGAGATAAAAAAACAAAGGTGCCTCAACAAGAGGAATGCTGCGTCCAGGCCGTTCTGTCCGTCTAGAGATTTTCGACATCAGACATCAGCATCCATGGCATCGTTGAAATCGCTCCACAGGGACTCGCTGGCCTCAAAGGACACCTCGCCGCCCATAGACACGAGCTGGTCGCTGTGGTGCTTGTGGCTGCCGCCGCCGTTCTTACGGTTGACCAGCGGCGACGAGCTCGGCATCACCAGGTCCGTGTCCAAGTACGAGCCAAAGTCGAGGTCGTCGGCCACACTGCCGAAGTTGGCCGTCAGGCCATCACTGTCGAGGTTCGCAAACGTGGCCAAGTCCAGGTCCGTGAGCCCATGCGACGGAGAGCCCGTCGTGAAGTCGTTGGCCTCGGACAGCAGCTGGTTCAGCGTCGAGGTGAAGGGTGTGTCAAACGGCACGCCGTCTAGCTGCAGAGGCACGTGAAGCGACTGCTGCTGCTGCTGCTGCCGCTGCAGACGTGCAGGCGTGACCGAGGCTGTGCGACGCTGCCGGCTGGCGCTGCCAGGGACAGGGACGGAGCGAGGTGTTTTGGATGGCGTGCGCTGCGCCAAGAGCATGAGACCTTCCAACACAGGGGACTGGGGGCCAGCGCCGGTAGTGGCCGTCGTCGAGCGCACGATGGATTTCGAGACGCTTCTCGTAATCGGCCGGTGGCTGGGCGTCGGCCGCGTTGGTGTCTTAAACGGGCCCGAGGCAAACGCGGGCGATTCCCGACTGTTGCTCGTGTTGGGTGGGGGGGTGGAGGGTCGTGCCGTTGGCGGCGGCGGCGTGCCAAAGAGGTCCTCCATGTCGTCGGCATCCTGAGCGCCGTCGATCCTCGCATGAGCCTCGCCACTCAGCTTCGCCCCGGACCGCGCAGTGTCTTCAAACTTGGACGGGTTGGCCTTGGCCTTGGGCGAACCGAGAACGGTTCCTATCACATTCACGGCCAGCTCGCCGAGCACCTTAAGAACGCCTTCTTTGCGAGGTGAGGGGAAGAGGAGGCGACGGGTGGTTCCAAACTGGTCGTCCACAGCAATCGGGCTGTCGGCTGTGCCGCTGCCTCGCGAATGCGTCGATCCAGGTCCACCACGGCGTCGCTCAGCAGAGCCTCCACCGCCCGAGGCAGGTTCCTGGTTAGACCCTGCCAGAAAATCCGGCTGCTGCAACGACGCTGCATTGGAGCTGTCACCGCGGGAGCGCTCCTCGCCCAAGGCCGAGTTGTTTGGATTCTCGTTCTCGTTCTCGGCTCGCTTGTTCGACTCTGCAGTTGTCGCCGGCGGCTTCGGGAAAGTTGTCGTCGATGCTGGAGGCGGAGGAGGAGGTAGTGGTGCCGCAGGCGGTGCGGGTAGGAGCTTGTGCAGCTTTGTGCCATTGGGATCCGTAGGCGGGGGCGTGTCAAGAATTTCAATGTGGGGGACCTTCGCGTTGGCGGGCGGGCCGTTGTCTTCGGGGCCTGCCGGATCCGTAGTCAAGTACGCCTCGGACGTCAGCTGGGTCTGCGGGTCACTCTTGGCCCGAGACTTGCGCGGGCGAGACGTCTTGAAATTCGTCCGGGTCTGTTCGAGGCGGTCCAAATCCTTGTCCCACCGGTCGCGAGGCCGGTGGCTCCTAAATTTGCCGACCCAAATACCGCAGGCTATAGAGGCAAAAAAAAATATGTTAGAAAGAACTGTTCATGTGCACAGACTGTGCTGAAAGGACACGAGGGGTGTCAAAAGGACAATACGTACGGTTGCAGAGAAGCATCTGTGTCCAGAGCTTCCCATTTTCGTGGCTGTTCAAGGATTTCCGGACAAGACGGTACCGGGTGGATCTGCCCTCCGCGTCGCGCTCGAGGATTTCAATAAACGTGATGGGGCAGTTTTGGTCTTGGAAATTGTAATAGCCCGGCTCGCCCTCGTGCTCCTGCGTCCACATCTTGCGCCATGTGGGCGTCTCGATGGCACCACAGTTTTGGCAGTATGGGGGCATTTCACCGCTCTGAATGGCCTTTTTAAGCCGTTCGCGGATGGCAGCCTTGCGAACGAGGTTTTTGTTGGAGCGTCCGCTGGGCACGTCTGCATCACTAGGCGGGCACGGTGCTTCGGAGAACGCAGTCGGTGGTGGCGGCGGCGCAGGAAGAGTCAACGGCGGCAGTCCCACAGGGTCGCTAGCCGGCACGGTGGTGGGCACGGACGGGAAGGGCAGGGGGGGCAGTGAGCTCATAAATCTCGCCATTTCGGCTGCTGGCTGTTGGGGCAGAGTCGGCTGTGTTTGAGGCGACTTTGGCGCCTCGGATGGTGTCGCAGCGGGACTCTCGTGCGTTGCAGTGATCAGCTTCGACAGCTCCTTGATGTCATCGTGGATGTCAAGCTGCGAAAGCTGCGAAGTGTCAGTCTTGCTGGCATCGGCATCCTTGTCGCCGTCCGTCGGTAGCGAAATCGATTGGTGGCGAAGCTGTGACAGTGGCCGCTGTTCAGCCTGGGCATCGGCCTGCAGCTGGTCTGGCAGGGAAGCGGGGTGTGCAGGTTCCGAATGGGACCGTTCCAGTGGCCGAGGCGGAGCTCGTGCGACCATGCTGTTGGCTCGCGGGGGTTTCGCTGCGCGTGGCTTCGGCTGGGGAGGGTTGTACAAGACGGTGGTGGGGAGGAGCTCCGGCGGTCCTGGGATCATAGCCAGGAACGGGTACTGCTCCGAATTGTTCGCGGCGTTTGGCGCGGACCGTTTGTTGGAGGTCCGGTTCGTCCGTTTTGGCGACCGCGTCGAAGAAGAGGCTGACGATGTCGAAGACGTCAAAGACGGCACAGGCGCAGCTGCTGGTGGCAACGGGCCCGTTTCAGCGGAGCCTGTCGGTGGCGGCAGGGGCAGCGAGAACTCCATGTTTGGCGTCGGCGCGGCGGTCTCTATGGGCGTCGGTGGTGGCAGGAACTTGTCGTTCAGCATCGCGTTTTCATCATCGCCGAAGAGGAGATCCTCCATGCCGCCGCTCATAAACCCGGAATCAGGTGGTGGCATGCGCATAGCAGGCAGGGGCGGGCTGGACGGGATGGGGCTCGACTGCGGTACGTAGCTCGTAGTACGAGGGACCGGGGGGGACGAATTCATCTCAGGCGGGCTGTTCTCCGGCGTGTAGTTCTCTGGAGATGGTGCCATCGAATCGGTGGGTGAGCCTGCGGGCAACGAGCGAGCATACGAGTCTGCGAACGAAGAGGGTTCGAGGTTGGCCAAGGACTCCCGCCGGGCCCTTTGGGCCATCAACTTGCGCGCATGGTGTTGGCCCGGGGCCCCGCCGCCCTGTGGCACAGGAGTGGGTGCACGCGGGAGCTCCTGGAGATGGGAGCCTGGTGCGGAGGGGCCGTCGGTCGAGGGAGGCTGCGGCAGGACCGGCCGCAGTGTGCGCAGAGCGCCCGACGTGCTCGCGGCGACGCGAAGCGAGTCGGGTGCTGAGTCGAGGGATGTCCGGGTGGGGTAGTCCGCCTTTGTCGTCTTGACGCGCTTCTTCTTATGCGCATCGTCACCGTCGGCATCGGTCGGCGCCTCCTCAGCAGCCGACGTGTTGCCGTCCGTCAATTGCGACTTGCGTGGACGGCCGCGTGGGCGGCCGGTGGGCACTCGTACCCGTGAGCGGGAGCGTGGTGGCCGGGCAGGACGTGCTGGCCGGCCGTTCGTCTCAGGCGGCGGGGTGGAGGCCGACATGACTTCGTCGTTTGCCATGGCAATTGGTGGCGGTGAGACCGACGGGAAGGCAGATCCAGGCTGCTGCTGCTGCTGCTGCTGCTGTGACGAATGCGGTGCGAGTGGTGGAGGGCCAGCACGGACGGGAGGATGAGAAGGAGCGACGGCGGATTTGGAGGACTGGCGAGAGTTTGGCCGTGAGCCGGGCCGCGACACAGCACGGGGCCCCATGTCAAAGGAGCCAGCAGCCATACCAGTGGACATGCTGGGCGGATAGGCAGACATGTCGGGGAGCACCGGGGCCAGGCTCGGCGACTGCATGGTCGATATGCTTGCAGACCGGCCGAGCATGGGGTTGGCCTGGAGAAAAGAGTTCCACTCGGAGGTGTCGGTGGGCGTCGGGGCGTTGTGCACCTGGCCCTGGCCCTGGCTGGTGGCATTCATGCCGTTGCCGCTGCCCCGGTGGCCGCTGTTGCTGTCGGTGCGGGCCATGCGGGAGACCTCGGACAGCTTGAGGCGCACCTCGAGGGTCTCGCGCACGCCCTTGCCGAACAGGGCCATCATGTTCTTTGTGACGCGGCCGGTGACCATCTTGGGGCCCTCGTCAAACTGCTGGGCGGCCACGGCAGCGGCGGGGTCCATGACCCACGACAGCATGCCCTGGCCGACCAGGGGCGTGTCGGGCTCGGAGTAGTCGACGGCGTAGATGGCGTAGTCCAGGACGGTCTGGGACGCGAGCTCGGGGCTGCCTTGGGCAATAGCCTGGATGCAGAGGCGGAGGTCGACGATGCCGATCCAGCTCTGCTCGTCGAGGGGCACAACCTGGACCTGCAGGGTGTGGGGCCAGCGGGCGAGGCAGTTGACGCGGCTGTCCTTGTCGAAGGTGTAGAGCACTTTCACTGCGAACGGAGTCAGTTGACCATCACCCAGCACGAGATGCTTTGAAAGGCCGATGCAAAACAGAAACAGAAAAACAGGCACAAGACCAAGAACGTACAGGCCATTGGCCGCACTTGCATGCCCATCTCGTCGGCGTCGTTAGCAGGCATGGGGCCCTGCGGCTGCTGGTTCGGCGGTGCCGGCGGCCAGCCATAGGCGGCCGGGCTGCCAGTTGTCATGGGCGACGCCATGGTCTGGGAGGTCGACTTCAGCAGAACGATGCTGGCGGGCAGTGCGTTTCCATGGACGAGCAGCGATGCGTACAGTCGAGGGGTCTGCGGCGGTACGACGTGTCGTCAGGAGAGAGACGAGGGCAAGACACTGGGAGTGTGGGTAGAGTGAGGAGAGGGACGAGAGAAAAGACAAGGGGAAGACGAGCGAAGATCGTGAGATGTGACAACAAGACAAGAAAAGGAGGTCGAAGTCGGTATGATGGGATCGTGGGCGGAAGAAGAGAATTGACGACAGCAACAGTGCGAAACGAAAAATGAAAAGAAGAGCCAGCAAAGAAGACGGTGGGTTCGCGAGGGCCACGGTGCGGAGCGTGGTCCAATTGCTCGTCACGAGTGGAATTCAAGAGGCTGGACGTGTCGACGCTTTTCGGCCGTTTTGCTGGCAGCGGGTGCAGTGCGCGTGAAGTACGCGTCGAGACCTGCTGTGGTGCTCACGGCCGGGCGCTAAATTGGGGTGGAGCGCTGGGGTATCTGTTGTGGGGCAGAGGGCAATCGCTCTGAGACGTGGTTTCCGCGGCAGAGGCACGGGCCCAGCGCAAATGCGTGCAAGGGAGGAAAGAGCGACAGGGAAGTGGAGGCAGAAGAAGGGGCCGGTAAAATGAACAAGAGGGCGGGAAGGTGCGATGCCAACTTGGGAAGTTCTCAAAAGAGAAGCAGCGACACACGAGCAAAGATCGTGTACGATGTACGCAAACACGCGCGAGCCGTCAGATAACAAAGCGGTCGAGCCGATCGGTGGAGTGCATGCGTCGGTGAACAGCGCATTCTGAAGTGGCCCCGGCCTGGGCCTAGCAGACGCGCTGGAACACGTGAACGCGCTGTGGTACACGGCAGCTGGCACGAATCCGGCGTGCTAAATGTGCTGCAGGAAGGAGTGGGGCATTGGAGACTGGCTACGGCGTGCCTGGGCCCCAAAACCTGAAGGACCCAAGGAGGGAAGGTGCGTTGGCGGCCGGGCAATGGCGTAATGGCAGCTTGACGAGGTGCAAGGGGAGCGCAGAACGGCAAGACTGCTGGTTGGATCGTCCTGCCGGTGGGGTGGCTGGCGAATCATGGCTCGAGCTTCGAGAAGGCAGAGAGAAAGAGCGAACGAAGTGCGAAAACTCGCTCTTTCCCCAGCCAAAACGGCACGTCGTCTTTTCCTTCCAAGAGGTGTCCAAAACCGAGGCGACCGGGGGGTGAATGCAACTTGGCAAAGACACGAACAAGGAGCAAACAAAGAGGGAAAAGGATGTATTTCGCTCGTGGCCCTTGACGGAGGGGGCCGGGCATGGTATTTATACTCCCGGCGTCAGATCGCTGCGTTGTGCATGCCTTCCTCGTGCAACACTTCCCGATGCCGTTGGGTCTTTCCGTTTTTGGGATGTTGTTCATGCCTGGTCCTTCTTGCCTCCCATCTTGTCTCATCGTTCGATGTCTCCCAACTCGGCCAGCCGCTCCTTCCCGGGTATGGCGCTTTCTGTGTACTTGCCTGTTGAGTCCTTTCGTTGCATGACTGTACGCTTTGAGTCCCCCAAACCATCTCCATCCTTGCGACGCACTGTCTCACCCCACCTTTGCACACATTTGCTCCTGCCCCCCTTACACCGTCGATGCTGTTCGTTCGGATTACGCAGCCCGTGATCTCCGTAAACACCGATGGTAGTTGCCCACCGCTCGTGCCTTCCGACATCTCCCCCACTTGCACCACACCACAGTAAAAAAAATGACGCTCTGATTTGCCGCCATTTTGCTCGCCCTATAGCCAACATCCAACGATGAGACTTTGTGATGCAAGCAGCCAACCCGATGATTTTTAGGCAACCGCCACCCCCCGCTGTTCCCCATTTCACCGCTTTTCGCCCCCATCTTGCCTTCTGTGACCCCAACAAACTGCCACACCGCACTGAATAAAAAAAGAAGGCGCGATGCAGCCGTCCCCGACCGCCCACTTTCCCAAAACGACCATTTCGCCAATCACATAACACGATTTCGCGACGCTGGAGAAAAACGTGACTGCCGCCTACGGGGCTGGCAAACTGCACATACATCCATTGAGCGACCCATTTTACAAGTGAGGCTGAAACTGGACACAAATTTGATAGGAATTGACGATTTCACAGAACTTGCATCTCACGTACATCGATTGTTTGCCCACCAACATGTGTGTTTTCGTTCACATCCTGTCGTGTTTTGTGATTGAATCTTTTATTTTTTTTGTACAAGAGATCTATGCTCGTATTTTACTGTTCGTTGTGCTTCACAAAAATCCCCCCTCCTATTTGTGCACCTATGTATGCCTCTGTATGCCGTTTTATGCCTCGTCCAGCCAGACGGCCTCGCCCCGCTCGCCCTTGATCGTTTTGCGCTCGATTATCTCCGTGACGACCTCCTTGACGCCCTGCTTGCCGCGGTACTGGCCGACAAACTGGTTGATGATCTCGCGCTGCGACTTGACGCCGTCGTTGACGAGCGCAGCCACGTGCGCCTCGCTCGGCAGGCCAATGTTGAGCTCGCCGTAGGGCCGCTCGCGGTAGTCGCGGGCGTTGAGCAGCCGCAGCGCGGGCGGGTCCTCGGCGCTCCGGTCGGGGGCAAAGTAGGGCTCCGTCAAGTTGTCCGACGCGGCAACGTCGTCGAGCGTCGACGGCTTCCACGCGGGGCGGCCCTTGTCCTTGCGGATCAGCAGCGACGAGACGCCCTCGGTGAAGTCGGGCTGGCGCATGAAGCGCGACGCAATCAGGTGCTCGCGCTGGAACGTCTCGGCAATGCTCCAGCGGCCGCCGATGCGCATCTGGCGCAGGCTGACGTGCACGGCCGTGGGCGAGCGGTGCTGCAGCGTCTTGAGCGTCTTGGCGGCCCACGTGCGCGTGGCCTCGCCGGCGGCAGCGCCGGCCTCGCTCGCGCTCTCCCCCTCCAGGGGTGCCGACGCCTCCGCCTGCAGAGCCGCGACAATGTCGTTGACGCTGTCATGGCCAAAGCAGCGGTCGATGGCGTTGCGCAGGCTACCGGCCAGCAGGATGGGCTGGTCCCGGGGCAGGCCCGTGGTGAACTCTTCGATGGTGGCATTGATGGTGGCGAGGCGCGTCTCGATGGGTTCGTAGTCGTGGAAGCGCAGCTCGGCCAGGCGTGCCTCGAGGCTGGGCAGGCTGGTGGAGTGCAGGTAGTGCGTGGCCAGGCCGGCGTAGAACACGTTGGCGCCCGTCAGGCGCTCGCTGGTCAGAGCCAGGTACGTGCCGACGGCGCCCGGCAGGCGCGGCAAAAAGAACGAGCCGCCGACGTCCGGGAAGAAGCCAATGTTGGTCTCGGGCATGGCAAACACGGTGCGCTCCGTGGCAATGCGGAAGGGCGCGTGGATGCTGAGGCCGACGCCGCCGCCCATTGTGATGCCGTCCATGAAGGCGACGTAGGGCTTGTCGTAGGTGGCAATCAGGTGGTCGAGCTTGTACTCGAGGGCAAAGTAGTCGGCCGACCACTGCTGGCCCTCGAGGCCGCGCTGGTTGGCCTCGGCCAGGGCCGTGACGTCGCCGCCGGCACAAAAGGCCTTGTCGCCCGCGCCCTTCATCACAATAATGTTGGCCATGTCCGACTTGGCCCACTCCTGCAGGCGGGGGCCGATCTTGCGGATCATGGACGCGTTGAGCGAGTTGTACTTGCGCGGCCGGTTCAGCTCGATCGTGCGCAGGCCGTACTGGCTGGTGAACAGCACATCCTCGGGCTCGTCGCCCGGCTGCTCCTTCCAGAGCCGGTCCGAGACATCAGTCGCCGCAGAGACCGGTGCCGAGGCAGCCGTCGCCATGGTGCGGGCAGGGGGCGACGCTGGCGCCAGGATCTTGGCGCGAAGCGGCATAGAAGAGGACGAGAGGGAGGACTGGCGTGAGAAGAGGGCGGCGGCGCGGAGGGAGGACAATGGGGAGGACGAGGAGGACGAGGAGGACGAGATTGACGATTGTGTCGTCAACGTGCGGCAGGCAGTGGCTGTAGGGCCAGCGCGGCGGAAAAGCGTCCGGGACAACATGGGCTCGGGGTATCGGTGGATAATCGGCAGGCGGTAGACGAGACGACAAGACGAGATGTCAAGACGAGATTCTTCGAGTCGTCTCCCGTCTTCAGTCTTCAGACCGTCGGGGCAATTCGCACTTCGCAGTTCGCAATTGGCGCTTGCAGCAGCTGCCTGGTCGTAGAGGGCGTCGCTCTCGCTGGTGGGCTGTGGCGCGGGTCAGCGTGGGTGCCGAGCGTCGAGTGCGTGGGTTGTGTCGGCAATAGTTTTCCCTCGGCCACTGACGTCGAGCATCCAGAGCCGCTGACACTGGAAGGCCGAAGAAAAAGCTTCACCCGAGGTCGAGGGACCCACTTGACGGAGCTTGGACCAATGGGGTGGCATACAGTGCGAATTATGTGTGAGCCACGTATTACTACTGTTTATTTACACTGTACGCCCCAATTCACTCACCTCCTCTCTCCTTTGATTTTCCAACGTGAACCCGGACGTAGAAATGTTTCTAATCATCGTGTTGATTTTGATTTTTCCCCTTAATTTGTGTTTTTATCCTTCACATGGCGGGCTAAACAATCTGTATAAAATACACTGGACATCCTCCCCCAGCCTCACTCTGCCAGCCCTTCAAAGAAGCAGGCCAGGCCCCATGCACCTGGGTCGGGCACCTTCTCGAACCCGCTGCCGCCGACGTACACCGTGCGGCCCAGGCTGGCCTTCATGCCCTTGGTGTGCTCGGCACCTGCCCGCGACGCCGCCGCAGCATCGGCCACCGAGCTGCCCGACGCGGCCAGCTTGTCGACAAACGGGTAGAGAGCATCGACGAGGGTGCGGTCGCCGGGGCGTGCGGGCGTGTACCGCGAAAGCGTGTCGCAGCTATGGCGCAGAGCGGCAGCCCAGTCGGGCGCCGTGGTGCCTGATGCCGCCGCAGACTGCTGGCGCAGCGCGTGCACGAGCGCGTTGAGGAAGATGGCGTAGAGCGCGCCCGACGTGCCGTCCATGGAGCGCTCGACGACGGGGACGATGCCGGCCACGTCTGCCACCACGTCGCCCGTCAGCGGCGCGGACGACAGGTGCTCGAGGATGGCCTCGGCGCCGCGCTTCATGCCCGTGCCGCAGTCGCCATCGCCAACCACCGTGTCGTACTGCGTAATCTCCGGCTCCGCCGCAATCACGCGCTGCAGGCCGCGCTGCAGGGCTCGGCTATATGCCGCGCCGTCCGCCTTGAGGTTGCTAGGCGCCGTGCCGGACGCCGCGTCCACCGCAGCAGCCGATGCAGCCGACGCAGCCGATGCCTTGTCGTCCGGTGTCGCCTTGGCGGCCTCGTCCCAGGTTGCGGCCGGGATGGGCGACGACCAGCCCGTGGCCTCGGCCGGGTCATCGAGCAGCTGCAGCAGGGACGGCACGTCGGCGCCCAGGCCCGTGTCACGCGGCACCTTGAGCAGGCTGATGCTGAAGCCCAGGCCGTTGAGGCTCGTCATGTACGTGCCGCTCAGCACGCGCCGCGGGCGCAGCTTGTAGTCGTCGCGCAGCTGCTCGACCACCTCGGCTGCTATGCCGCCCATCTCGAGCACGCTGACGGCACCCAGGTTGTTGACGAGCAGCACCACGTCCTCGCCCTCGCCAATCGACGCAAACGCCCGGTCGCTGTCCTTGGCGTCCAGCAGCTGCCGCAGCATCGTGCGCACCAACGCCGTCAGCGCCAGGCCCTTGGCCCGCTCTGAGCCGGGCTCGTTGTGGATGCCCATGCCAATCTCCACCTCGTCCGCCGCCAGCGCGTCGTCTGCCGTGTCCGTCACCGACCGGCCCGGCACGTGCACATGCTCCAGGCTGGCGCCCACGCTCACGAGGTTGTCGGCCACCAGCTGGGCTACGTCCGCCACCTTGTCGAGGGCAAAGCCGCGCGCAGCCAGTGCGCCGCTGATCTTGTGCACGAGCACCGTGCCCGCAATGCCGCGACGGCCGACCTTGCCCGCCTTGGCTCGGCCCACGCCCACGTCGTCGCCCACGACCACCATGCGGACGGGCACGCCCGCGGCGCGTGCCTTCTCGACCGCCATGCCAAAGTTGAGCACGTCGCCCGTGTAGTTCATGACCGTCACAAGGACGCCGGCGTTGTGGCCGGCGGCGGCCGAACGCGACGCGAGCAGCGTGATGGCCGTGCGGATCTGCTCGGCGGACGGCGAGGCAAAAATGGTGCCCGCAACGGCACCCGTCAGCAGGCCCGGGCCGACCATGGCGCCGAAGCTGGGCTCATGGCCGGAGCCGCCGCCCGAGACAATGGAGACATTAGGCGAGGTGGCACGCTCGTAGAGAATCTTGTTTGCCTCGTCGAGGGCGACGGCCGGGTTGGCGTAAGTGACCGAGCGCAGGCCGGCGTGGACAAGGGCCGTCGGGTCGTTGACAAAGTGCTTGGCGAGGGAAGCCATGGTAAAGTGTGTTGTAGTACCTAGTACCCTAAGAACTGTAAGAGACTGTAAGGAACTGTAAAATTGGCGTGAGTAAAGCAGCTCCAGACGATCTCGCGATGTGTCGAAAGAAGGGTAGGAGACGACCTACAAAACCAAAAGGAGGAAGAAATATGGACGAGACAAAGACGAAAAGAAACAGAACATAAAACGAAGCGAAAAGGGCCGGGTTCGGGAATGACAAGAGAGACGAAGAACGCAGCCCACGATAAATGCACAGGAGTATGACAATCCACGCTGCGGAGCTATAGTGCCGGAATGACTTCATTCGGGAACATGGCACTGCCTGAAGCTCGCCTTCGGACTACGACTACGAGGAAGCTACGACCTGCGGAGCTTGGGACACTGCGCAGGGCCAGGCACTATGTGGGCGGGGGTGGGGTACCGCTGATGGTCTTCTGTGTCTTGGGAAGGAGCCACCAGGCGCCAGACGTTGGGTGTTGGTTATTTTGTGGTGCGGAGTAGCCAGACTGGGGAAGAGTGCCACCAAGGAAAGAGCGACCTGCAGCGTGTTGGTGTTGCATGGTGCGGGGAGCTTTCCGTTAGCAGCACGCTGGGTCACGAAGGTCGCACCGGGGGAAAGACGCTTGGGCGGAAAACGGAATAGTTTTCGGGGGAGGAGCGACCAAGCGAGGCCAAAACACCGAAACGACCGAACAAAATGAGAAAGGAACACCGAAAGACCGAATATCTAAGGTCCCGACGAGGCCGATTTTTACGACGAATTACCACGTACGATATCGGACAAAGCCTTCGGAGAAAGTGAGCAGATTGTAACGCGAAGAAAAGCAGCATGTAATACAAAAAAGAGTCGATTGATATTTCCTAACGCCGTCGCCATGCTGAGGGAATCAATCCCTGATCATAAATGTAAATATCCGATCTTATGTCACCGTTCCTGCCTTTGTGGGCTGCTCGCACCAAACAACTTGCTAGACTTCACGTCCCCACATCCAGAACACCCCCCTATTTCAACACAAACACACTGCCGCCCAAAATCGAAAAGACAATTGCCGTCGTCGCAAAGCCCGCGGCCACGCGGTCTCCCGTCGTGATGGGTGCCAGCGTCAGCGCCGTCGACGGCTTGGTGCCGGCGTTGGGGTTGCCCACCGACGTGCCGCCCGACGACGACGTCACCGCCGCCGCCGTCGTGGGGTGCACCAAGGAATACATGAGCGCCGACAGCGCGTTCATCTGCTCGCCCACGCCCACCAGCCCGTCGAACCCGCCCGTCGTCCACTTGAAACCGCACGCCGTGCCGGCCATGCCTTTGAACCCAGACGCGGGCGACCCCGTGCACGACAGCGCCGCGGCAGCCGCGTTGGCCTGCAGCAGCGGCGTCACGGTCGGGAACAGGTACGGAGCCATCTGCGCAGCGCCCGAGAGCCAGCGCAGCATGTAGCCTTTGAAGCTCTGCTGGTCGTTGTCGCACAGCTGCACCGTCTCGCAGGCCTGCTCCACGAGAATGTTGCTGCCGTTTGTAAAGAAGTGGCCCGTGGTCGCCGCCAGCAGGCTGTCGAGGCGTGTCTTCCACGTGGTCGAGTCCTCGGTGATGTTGTACATGATGGCCGCGCCGTGCAAAAAGATGCCGGCGTTGTACGACCACTGGAAGGTGTCCGGGTTGGTGCAGTTCTGCGGCGAGTCGGTGGCGCCGTCCAAGATCCGGTAGTCGGACGTGATCAGACCGACGCCCGTCTCCCAGTCCCAAATCTTCTCTGCCCAGTCGGCATACGTCTGGTTGCCCGTGTACCGGGCCAGGCGCGCGGCAATGTTGAAGAAACAGCCGTTGGCAATCGAGTTCTTGTAGTCAAAGCCGTTGTTGAACTGGAAGATTTGCCAGCGCAGGCCGCCGTTGCACGTCGTCGTGTCCCAGCGTGTGGCATACTGGTTGAACACGGCCTGGGCCAGCGCGAGCCACTGCGGCTTGTCGGATGGCGGGTTGGGGTAGTTGTTCTCGGCAGCCGACATGGCCGCCATGCCCCAGAAGCCCTGGTCGTCGTTGCCTTCGGTCCGTGTCTGGTTGATGGGCATGTAGTCGTTGTTGTCGCCCACCTGGTGCAGCATGGCCTCTGTGGTGATGTTGTTGTACGTATCGTCGCCCGTCAGGAACCAGTAGTCGATGAGCGTGCCGAACATGGCGCCAGCTTCCCACCAGAAGTACGGCGCGGGCAAGTTACCTGGCGTATCGCCTGTATTATTGCCGGTATAGTACTTGACGAGACCGTAGGCCACGGTGCTGGCGGCCTCCTTGACGGAATCTACCTTGTTAGAAACGCCCAGTAAACCGTTAGGCTGTGCATATGTCAACTAACGAAGACTTACTGGTATCAGAGAGCGTGACCTGCAGGGCATTTGCTGCTTGGAACAGCAGGCAGGTAGCCCCTGCTATGCGGAGGGTAGAGAACCGCATGTTGTGAGTTGGGAGTGTCAAGGTAAAGGTATAAGTCGCCAAGAAATATCGACAACAGCGAAGAAGAGAACCGGTCGGGGAAGAAACAAAGTCTCGTCCAGGAGCCAGGAAAAGAAAGTAGTCAGAGATTATATCAACAATGAAGGGATATCGGCCGATATATGGCGAAGATACAGCTCGTCAGTGGCGAAGCCGCGGCGTCGAATGGCTCGTGTTTAGAAGGAGGCTCCGAGATACGAGAGCTGGACAATATGACCAGCAAATTAAAGACGTTGGAAGACACACTGAAAGAAATCCGAAGAGGCTCAGCCAGGAAAGAAAACAAAGGGAAGATAAAGAAAAGCGAAGCGTAGAGTAGGGAGAACTCGGATAGAATCAAAGAAAATGTTGTGAAAAGATGTGCATAAGAATGTGAAAAAGGAAAACAAAAAAGCCAACTAGGGCGTCGTCTCACACTTGGCGAGGAAAAGAATAGACAAAAAGGCAATGAGAAGCGAACAAAATAACCAAAACTGAGGTCGATGGTGAAATAGACGGATGAACAAAAGAAAAGGAGAAGAAGAGAGACAAGAGACGATCAAGAAAATCAGAAAAGAAACCAAACAAGCCAAACACACAAACACCCAAAGAGGAGG